AGGTGTAAAACTTTCTTCAGGACAATGTTTTCATAAATATACATACAGAAATGCTTGATACTTATAACAGAGGAAAATGATTTCTTCTTGCTTGCCTGTCTGTCAATTATCTGTTCCATCTTTCCAAATTCAGGGTGGGGTCTCCAGAAGAAGTATGGATGGTAAGAGGAAGAGACTGGCTGTGCTATCTCCTAATCCACTGCAGCGGGAGACAAACCTGGCTTAAAGACTTGTGAAGAAAAATGGCACTTGTTAACATGGGTACCAAATTAGAGCTTGTGTCAGGGCAAGATGCCAAAGTGAAATTCTCTGTTCATCTATAAAACAAATAAGGCCTGGGCAGCCTCAAATTTCCCCCCATGACTACATGAAAGCGCCTTCAGACTGACTTGAAGAAATGATCTCTAATGGTGAGAGGATACTGCAATTCTACCCAATCAGTCCATGGCATGCATACAGAAATTATCAACATGGGAGCTAAATATGATGCAGGCAGCATTTTTTTAAATATAAATATTTATATGTAGGAGCTAGACAGACTACTAATTTATTTCACAAATACATCTCACTGATGTATTTGTCACCAAATATCAATCTCTCATCATTAACCTGGAGTGAGTGGACTTTGACTGGCAACCTAGGCTCTGTATTCCATTACCAGTTTACATGAGACAAACAGTATTTTGGGCATTTGTAAATGCATTCATATGACAAACATTTATTAATGTGTATAGTGAAATTTTCAGTGTATAAGGTATTAAGAAGCACAAAGATTCAAATCGGACCTGTATATCCTGTAGGTGCTTCTGAAAATCTTCCCTGTATTTAGGTAGACAAACTTTTTAAAATTATATATCATTCAATGAATTTTAAGAGAATATTTCCGATCAATGAGTTATATCTTTGCAGTCTACATAGTTGCATGCCTGGAAAGGTTGGAGGCAAAATTTACACTGGACAATTAGAAAGGTATTTATTTACAATTTATTTCAAAGAACATTTTTATGAAAACAAATTAATTAAAAATTCAGTGGTACTAGACTATTTTAGGATATTTGCAATTGCAAAACTGGTAAGTTTGCTAAAATGGAAAAACACTAGTTTTCATTCTCCTGATAACCTTGCTGGTCCCAACCTCACCACTTTATTTCCTTCTTGCTTAGTTTAATGTTTACCATATTCTAAGTCTATGGCTCATAATAATTGACCTTTACCATAACAAATAGAATAATTCCAGTTACCATTAAGCATCAAATGCATTTATTGCTGCATAATTCACCAGCCTTACTCCTCAGTCTGGCTTTGCCTTGTATGTATTTGTTTTCAAAAGGAAAACGTTATATTTGAAAGTTATAATTGAGAATTCTGTAAAATGCTTCCTTTACTGAAAATTGAAATTTGACAGTTGGGGTTTGTCTTCAATGGACTTTTTACCTTGAATTAATTTATTGCCAATTAATTCAGGGGAACTAATACGTTTGTAAAGGCTAGCATGGATATTCCCAAAATATTTTTTCCCAGGACACAAGCATTTAATCCTTATCCTAGGACTCCGCCCTTAAAACACCGAAAACAAATCTGTTATCTGTAGTTTTTAAAGGAAATTTTAAACAAAATTAAAAATCAACACAATTTAAGTTTACAGTGTCCTTTCAACTTCAACTAATTACCCCAACTTCCTGGCTAGGGCTTAGGTTGAGCACAACACAACAGTCAAATTTTACTTTAAGACAATTGGCATGTCAAATCACCTTTACATTTATTATTCTGACTCTGGATATATTGTGGTTTTATTTTTACATACAACTGCAAAATATAGATATTCTACCCCCATAATCAAACTTTTTAAGAACCATAGGTATATGTTTTAAAATACGTGTTCCAGCTTAAAAGTTTTGCATTATAACCTTACAAGGAAAGAAAGGCTATTAAGAGATGACATCGTCCTTAGAACTATCTGAACTTTTTGCTGACCACCAACACTGTAAAACTTCTTTTCACTGCACTACATCTTTATGCGCATTCATTAGAGATCTCCAGTTTAACATGTACAAGACACCATTAATTATAGTTGCAATTAAACCGAGCTAGCTTTTATTTACAACATAGGAAATAAAGCCCAAGTAAAGGATTACTGTAGCTTGTCCACTGTCAATGGGAGCAATATGCATTTTTATTGTAAACTTCCACACTCCTATCCTATGATTCAATGAATAAAAAACAGATCCTTTTCACAGGAAAGTGCATACTCAGCAATCTGTTACCTGTGACTAGCAGATATGGTCAGGTCATTATTGAGGATTAAAAATTTTTAAACATTTAAAATTTATGTTTAGTTTTTTTTAAGGACATGGGATGTTTAAATATGGTGTGACATATGATTGTGGTCCAAGCTTCTTATAAAAACATGATTTCTTTGTCTTTGTGAACATAAACAACCCCCGCCATCAACCCTCCAAAAAAGTAAAGAACCAACTTTTAGCCTTGCTATCTATGTACCCAAGATAACATCTCTCTCTCTCAAAGGGACTGATAGTTTTTTTCCCCCCCTGTCCACATCATTAAGGAAAAAAAGGTTATAACATTAGGCCATAAACATACTTAAATAGGGTTATTTTTGTAGTGTAATTGGGACAGACTCCATGTTCAGAAAGAATGGAAATAGCGAAGTCCTCCTGAGGTCAAGCCTTAAAAGAACACTCTTCAGAACAAACAGAATTAATATCTTATACATTCACACTTATGAAGAAGGATTAAAGTAGGGCTGTTAAACTGTAATCTGAGTGACAATTTAAAAAAACAGGGATTTTCTGTACCACTGAAATAAAGATAGCAAAATCCTTTATGAGAAATGGGATACTTAGAATGTCTAAAAAAGCAGCATTCTGAACACACAGCAATTATGCAGAATCTTTTGAAAACAATATTGGTGCCTATGACATCTATAATCTTTCACATAACATGATTAAATAAAACAGAAAAACGGCCTGTATACATTGTTAATTTTTTTTCAAGTAATGTTATGTACATTTTATTGCCAGTATATGCACAATGGTAAGCAAAGAACTATAAATACACAATGTAGTTAAACAGTAGAAAACAAAGAAAGTTGCACACAAGGGAGGAGAGAAAGGGGAGACACTACTTTCCTGATGCAGCTGCTAAAAAAAAAAAAAAAAAAAAAAGTCCAGTGACAAATAATGAGAATTTTCCTTTTTTAAAGTTTTTACATACATTTCTACATTTCCCCTGCCCAAAGAAAACATCTCTGCAACAGCAGCAAACTGCTTCTTTAATAACCATGTCTCAACTTTCTCTGTCAGATTCACTTTAGATTAAGTGAAAATGACCTCTCACAGAGTGTAACTGCAAGTATCCAGCTCCACTTTTTTCAGTTTTGTCTTTCAAGGTAACTAGCAATTGAAGTGCATTTGGCTACATGATAAAGAACAGGGCTTCGAATACACAGTAGCAAATGGTGATTTGAAAAAATAATTAAAAAAAAAGATTTCTATAGACAGTTTTTCCACAAGACACTATGGGCAGCAGCTCAGTCAAAAGTAATCACCCTGAAGAGGTAGAGAGAATTTTAGCGTAGCATAAAAGAACATCCTTGGCACTGCTATTTTCTCTCTTACCAGGACACATGTCCTAAAACTAGACCATACCATAGTAAAAAAAACCCAGGTTCCATCATTCCTGGATAGGGTGCTGTTTTACCCCATCTCTCAGCTAAGTAGCTTGTTGATTACATCTGAGAAACAGAAAGACATTCAGGGACATATATTTACTTGATTTTTGTTCTCTCTTTCCATTATCATAAATACAAAGAAGCATTATTAACAATAAACTAAAATTTAAAAAATAAAACAACCTGAAAACATTTTCACACCTTAATCCAGATGGGTCTTGATGATGCTATTCAAGAAAACCATGCAAATAATTTGGTGCAGCTTTCCCAATTCATCCATAACTTTTTTTTTTTTTTTTTTTTGGAAAAAGTGGCAAGATTCATAGTGCTTGTGATTCTCCCCCCACCCTAAAAATTCAGTGCAGAATGTTGTAGTGCTTTTAAAAAGACAAGCAATGAACTGCACTGTTGTCATATATCCCCCATGTGAGTTACAATACAACACTACTGGTTCCAGCAACTAGGTTGAGAGGAAACATTCTAGTGATAAAGATAAATACATACTGAGCATGCTTGGGCAGAGCACTCCACTCTGAGGCATCCTGCTTGAAGAAAGGATGGTGACAAGGATGGTTCAGGTCCATCAAGTAAGTGTTTTCTCTGCTGCTAGAAAGCAGGTTGTCACACTATCACCAATTTTGCAACACTGGACCCTGAACAGGCTGTCTTCCACATTATGATGTGCTAGCTGTACTAGTCCTCTACGGCTCACACTAAATTCTTATTTATGGGACAAACATACAACCAATGAACAATATCACTTTCAAAGAACTGGATCAATCCAGTTTTTTTATGGGCATAATTCTCATACTCCAGAATATCCCAAACAAGATACAAATAAGATGATGTACCATCAACACAGTGACTGAGTCTAGTTGCAGTTCAGACTAGTCCTGCCTTGTTTCATATAATTTCTTCTTTCTAGCAAAGGATATGATATTTAAACAAAACTGCAATAAAAATGGCATGTTATTCTGCAGCCAAAAATAAAAAAGCAAAAGAATTTAGATTTTAACTTTTAAAGCTTAAAGCATTCCTGTTTAATTAGCATTTTTAAAAATTCTTTTTAAATACAGTCATAACACTGGTAAAAGTTAATGGGAAGACACACAGAGGAGTGCGAACAGGAAAAGTGATGGATTAGATTTTTAAAATTTATTGTGTTTTGACCAGCTGATATTAATACTGTTTTCTCCTTGGATTTGGAATAATTCTACTGCAACAGTCACATGCAGGCTGAGGGTTAGCCATCAGTTTAAAAAAATAACAAAAAAAGAAAACAAAAGACAAACTGGAGAGGGGGAAAAAAAAAAAAAAGTTCCAAAGGTGTGTGAGAGAATTTTCCTTTCACTGATATCAGAGTGCCTGTCCTTTCTTTAGAAGACCTGGTTCACTGTCGTCAGTTTCATTAGCTTTGTCCAGATACATCTGCTGCTGTGTCACCTGCTCCAGAGCCTGTTTGTGCACGTTTGATGTAAAGGTTCAATAATTTCATCTGAAGATTTAATTCAGAAATGCATTTGTTTAACATTTATCAGAAACACAGTTTAATAGTAAAAATTCTAAAATAGTCTATCAGTAATAGTAAGAAGACAGACAGTGAAGAAAATTCTAAATAAAGCTGAGTGAATAATGGATTTTTTGCTTCGCCGGTAATGCTGAAACACTTAAATAAGTTTTGTTTCAGGTCAAACCGAAAATGAATTTTTTTTGGCGAATCAAAAAGTCTGAAATATTTAGAATAAGGTTGAAACAAAACATTTTGGTTCAACCCAACATTTTTCATTTCAGTTTTGAGCGGTTTTACAAAAATAAAGGACTAGACTCAGAAAATGCCTGGGGGAGGGGAGAAGAGGACCTCTTTTATAATCTTTATCCCAGTATAGTCCTGGGGGAATTCTGCGCCAAAAAATTAAAAATTCTGCAAATTTTATTTTTCAAAACAACACTATATAATCATGCCAGTTTCAATTATTTTGGTAATTTATTTCAAAATAGCTGTCAGCAAGTATGTCTGTAACAATACAGACACTCACAAATTCCCCCAGAAGTAGAGAGTTAAAGAAACCCCTACGACAACCCAGTTCCTGTTTCTCTGCCCCCCCCCCAAGACACTCACACCCACTACCCCCCAGAGTCCAGGAATCCAGAGGGAGAAACAGCCTGATGCTGGATCCCAGGCTTGCATGGAGTTTCCCCACATGCCACTGCTTCCTTCCATCAGGGTGTGCTGGGAACTCTTCCTCCCCCTCTCCCCGGCCTTGTCTTCTATTTGCGAGCTGGGCTTCGCCAGGTCCAGCAGCCCCTAGTGGTGACCAATAGCTCTGAGCTCATTTTTGTGGGGGGAAAAAGGAAATTCTGCATGCACAACATTATTTTCTGCAAAATTCTGCATTGTGCAGTGGCACAGAATTCCCCCAGGAGTAGCCCAGTGGTTAGGGTCTCTTCTGAGACATGGGAGTCCCAGGTTCAATTCCCTCCTTTGCCTGATGTGGATCAGGAACTTGAACTGGAGTCTCCCACATCCAACATGGATGACCTAACCACCTGGCTATAGAGTAATTCTCACACTTTCTCTCTGGCCCAATGATTACCCATTGTCAATTATAGTAGATATTCATGGTCATTTATGACAATAGATAGTCATTTTGCCAGGGAAAGAGATTGAGAGCGACTCTCTTGTGTGGTAATTAGGGCACTCAACCTAGGATGTGAGAAATCCAAGTACAAGTCACCGATCCTCATGAGGCAGAGTAAATTGAACCTGAGTTTCCCACACTCAGCACAGTACCCTAACCATTAAACTAAAGATTATAAGGGAGGTCTGGTAACCAAAAAATATTCATCTAACTTTAAGCTTTCGTGGGCTATAGCCCACTTCTTCGGATGCAAGCTTATGCTCAAATAAATTTGTTAGTCTCTAAGGTGCCACAAGTACTCCTGTTCTTTATGTAAATTAAATTTTTCTGCAAATGTGCAGCCATCCAAAAAGATGCATTAAAGATTTTGTGTTTCTCAAATAATACAAAAATAATATGTACTTAAAAGGTTGTGGCATGCAAATTACTTAAGGAGAGGAACAGATAGAAACATAATTGGTTAATTTACTTCTAATGTACCTTTATCTCCCACCAAACAATGACATTTTCAAAAGGCAACACCAGATGGAGCAATGGTGGAGATGAAAGTCAGTACACTGATTATGTTCGGTGTGGAATTACCTACCATCTTATGTAATATATACACAACACTAAGTCAATACACTGATTTTGAAGGTGTACTCAACCATCTTAAGGATGTTTATGCGAAGGTTCCTTAATCTAATTTTTCAAGGAGAATTTTTTTTATATTTTGAGGCACAGTTGTGCTTTTGAGCTAATTTATAATATAACCAAATCTAATCTAACACAGCAAAACATGGGGCCTAATTCAGCATTTCTTATAAATCAATTAAAACTTCACTTGCATGAAGATTGGATTTATGGTTTGCATATTTTTGAGTCTCACATATGAAAGTCACCTTGATCCTCTCTGTTTGCTAGTAGCTTCAGCAACCTGGGTTATTATTCCTTCAGATATATACTTTCTTAGTTTTAATAGTTGCTCACAACTACACCGCATGTAAACATATACATGCAATTAGGGACTAGGATTTCTGTAAATGGCATCCTCCACTTACTTTGCTGCCTGTGAGTTGACTGAGATGTGGTTTTAGTTCATCGCCAATTACTGCATGAATGGCTACAAGGCAGAAAACACAAGCCTTACGAACACTGCTCTCTGAATTATCATAACCCTAGAAAGCAAGGAAATTAACATTAATAGGTAGCATATGACTAAAATTCCAAGAGAGAGATTTCTTTTTATAGATACATCCCCCCAAAAAATCACACTAAATGAATGTTAAGGTTACCAAGAGAAGCACTCCAAAGTTAGAAAATGCCAAAATTAAACTTGCCCAGGTAAACAGAGGTTATTTATCAGTAACTGTTGTTCTCTGAGAGTCACCTCTGTGCATTTACACTTGTGGAATATGGTGCCCCAAGCATAGAACTGTGGAACTGCCTTGAAAATCCACGTCCATTGAGAAGCACGAGAGAGATCTTGCATGGGTGCAACATCATTGCCCTACTCAACAAGAATGCATCCACCAACCACCTCAACTCCTTCCCTCTAACTGTGGAGTCCAAATGTTATATAGAACTGTGAGGTAGAGAGGAAGGGGGTAGGTAGTATGAATATACAGAGACGACTTCTGAAGAACAATAGTTACTGGTTAGTAATCTCTTTCTTCATCAAGGGTCTCCGTGCACTCCCACTTGTGGGATATCAGCAGGATGATGGTGGCTTCTTAGTTAAATATGGACTGTTGTGCTGCTCTCTCAAACTGAGCATCAGAATGCAACTCTAAGGCTGAGGAGCAGTGCTTTGTGAAAGTGTGCACTGAACTCCAACTTGCTGCTTGCTGAGCTTGAAGTTTCTTACGTACTTGTTGAGGTTTCTGAGGTCCAGGATGGGTGTCAGACTGTCATTCTTCTTGGGCATCAGGAAATAGCAGACGTAAAATCCTTTCCCTGGGTGTTGCTAAGGAACCTCATCTTTGGCTCTCTTCTTGAGAAAAGAATCCGCATCTTACAAAGGGATTCTCTCCTATGAGAGGTCCCTGAAGAGGGAGGTAACCATATGGTTGCTTGTGCAACCTTATTTCTGGAATTTCCTAACCTTTGAGAGCTTGTTGTCACAACTGTAATGCCCATTTAATGTAAGTTTCTTAAAAATGTAACTTCCTAATTCTTTTAAACACCCCCCACCAAATATTGTGGAATCAGACTGACCCCCAACTTAACAAATCAACAGAGTTTGGACCATTAGGTCCACAGACATCTACCACTTGAGCTCATGGAGTAACTGGCAGCAGCAGCAGGTTGCCATCCTCCATGTGGACCAACACTAGAGTAGGATGACACACACACTTTGCCAGTAGGTTTCACAGCTATTTGCTGACCGTAGAAGAATGCAGACTCAGGACTACCAGGTTAAATTCCAGGTTCTGAAGGGAGTGTTTGCTAGTGGTTAGAGACCCTTTTTCCCGTTTCACTCAGCCTCTTCCTGTCCTCTTCTGTTCTTAGCCTCTTTTCTCCAGCTTCTTCCCCACCATCCCCATCTGGCTCCTATCCCCCTCTTATTCCTTCCCTGGCTCCTACCCCCAATCCTCTATTCCTGCCCTTCCCCAGCTCCTGCTGTCTGTGTCCCCCTCTTCACTTCTATCCTCCTGCAGAGTTGGGCTAGAATATACCAAGTACAGGTGGAATCTTTGGAGAATTTAGCTGTCAAAGTCTAACAAGTTTCTCCTGAGCATGAGCAAATAGAACTGTTCTGACCTGTCCAAATATGGGCAAGTTTTCATGGGGATAGCAAAAAAAGGCATCCCCCACAAGAGGGCGACTCCTCCTGCCTCAACACCACCAAATTTCAAGTCCTTGGTCCAAAGCATGGAACAAAATAGTGACAGGATTATTATTATTTTTAACGTGGGCAATACAATGCACTTTCCCCTAATCTATTTCTTGGAAATGGCTGAATCATTTTTACTAAAACTTCCCTCCCTGCCAAAAAAAAACCCAAACAACCCCCCCCCCCCCCCCCGAAAAAAAACCCCCAAACACACATGCCTGAGACACTTAGCAAGGACAATTTCAGTCCAAACTGTTAAGTTTGGCAAAATTATAAGCATCTGAAAACAGGTTCTTATAATGGAAAGTATCTGGCAACCTTACTTATGGCAACATTTCCTGCACTTCCTATAAAGAGGATTATGATGGCACTGTAAAAATATCTTTTGTGCCAAAAAAGTAATACTAGAAAGAAGCACAGCTGAACTGGTACAAAAATTTCCATTTTAATACACTGGTTAACATAAAACAAAGTTTAAAAACATTTAAGCTATACTTCAGTCTGCCCTATCCAAACCTCCGCTCGGCTATGAGACCATTTGGGTATGTCTACAGTGCAATAAAATATCCATGGCTGACCCATGTCAGCTGACTTGGACTCATGGAGGCTTGGGCTGGGGGGGGCTATAAAATTGCAGTATAGATGTTCAGGCTCAGTCTGGAGTCTGGGCTCTGGAACCCTCCCCCTCATGGGATCTCAGAGCCTGGGCTCCAGCCCAAGCCCAAACATCCTCTGCAATTTTTATAGCCCCGCAGCCTGAGCCCTGTGAGCCTGAGTCAGGTGACACAGGCCAGCCACGGGTGTTGTATTGCAGTGTAGACATACGCTTTGTGGCCCTGTCTTCTCTCTCTCATTTTTAAAATAGTGGATTTTATACAAAAGAAAATAAAAACTATTTTTAAAGGAACAGAGAAAAATATTACATAGTATCTAGAATCATAGAGTATCAGGGTTGGAAGGGACCTCAGGAGGTCATCTAGTCCAACCCCCTGCTCAAAGCAGGACCAATCCCCAGACAGATTTTTGTTCCAGATCCCTAAGTGGCCCCTTCAAGGATTGAAGGTTTAATAGGCCAATGCTCAAACCACCGAGCTATCCCCACCCCACTATACAAAACCTTTAAACTGAATTAATAGAGCCAATTTAAGTCACCCAAATGTATGATAAGATCCTGCAATATGCTGAGCATCTAATAGGTGAAATCATAACTTCACTGGATTAAGATTCTTAATGATTTAGTAGAGATCAGCATGTGGAACATAAACATGATGACTGCATAATATTATTTCTTTAACATGAACCAAGAAATCTCAAATGTTAATTTCAATGTATATCATCACTAGCCACTAGATTAAGAAATCTTCCTGAAAATAAAGTATCACTAAAATGGTTTCAAGTAATCTAATCTAAAGGCTGAAAATGTGTTGCACCTGGATAAACGTTTTTTAATGTTTCTAAAATCTTAGGGATTCTGTGCATTGTGGTCTGTTGAAGTAAATGAGAGCCATTTCTAATCAACGGCACAATTAAAAACTGCAAATAACTAAATTCAGTAAAATGACTGCTAGATTATTCTGCACATCAATACAAAACCAGACCTCAGTTGCCCCAAAACAGATTATCCAATGTTTTCATTCTTTGGGCAACTTCACAAAAGAAAAGTCACCTCATGGACTCTCTTTCCAAAAACCAAATCCCGCCCCCCTCGTTCTTAAAATATTTAATTTTAAGAAATGAAGGGAGAGCTTTACAGGACAGTTTTGAAACACAGATTGAGAACCACTACTTAAAAGTAATCTATTAATAGCCCCTAAAGCTGAAATTTAATGTAATAATTTTATTCTTTAGGAACACATTAAAATGTAATGTATCTCCTTAAAGTCCTAGACTGACTGACTGAGAATCAGAATGATGTTGCTCCAAACAATGAAGATATTTTGGACCTGTTTCGGAGCACACCATTGTGTTTTTTTTTCTGAGGGTCTCCTGTGTTTGGGATCTGGGTCTCTGGCAGATTCCACTAAAGTGCTGCTTTTGCCAGGGCAATAATGTCCTTCGCCAGCATTGAAACAAATACCGCAAACCCCAAAGGCTTCCCTTTGGTCCACCTTCCCAACAAAAATAGAGTCTACACTATAACTACCACTGGACCTGTCTCACCTCTGCTGGATTTGAAGTGTCAACCTCTCCATTTCTCTGTTCTTCCCTGTGACTCAATCTCCTGAGATAAACTTTCTGCGAGTACTGCCCCTTCACCGGACTCACTACATAGCTAATCCTGGCTTCTGCAGCTATACCTTTCTCCCCCTCCCCACCCTTCCTTATACAGCCTCTCCTCCCAGGAGATTGTCACACACACTTTCTTTTGAGTTCCTCCCTCAACCTGACCACGCCATCCCCAGGTATACCAGATAGAGCTCTCAAGCACTCTCTAACCATTCCTGGGCCAGTGTGGGCTTTATATACCCCATCACAGGGCCACAAATGCAACCATCTACTACCCAAATCAAAGTTTTCCATGAGAGCTGAGTGAAATGCTAAAGAGATTTAAACTTCTGGTTTAATTCTTTACATCTGCTGTGGTTTCTTACCTGTATTAGACCTGGCACAATCTCTGGTAAAAGCTGAGCAAGCGTTTCTTTAGATACTCTCTCTATCACTTTTGTCTGCATTTTGATTGCAGCCAGATTAATGGGGTAATCTGCAGTTTGGATAATGGGACAAAGTACTTTGATGCACTGATCTGGGCTAATGGAAGTGGCCAGCATTGAAGCAGCTTCTTCAGCAGATCTCACCACCTAAACAAAAATTAAATAAAACAATGGAGAAAATAGTTTTTAAAAAATGCTTGTGCAGTCTAAATTCTGACAGTTCTGCTCTTGAACCTTGCAGTGAAATCAACAGATGTTTGTATTTTTATTTAGTTTTATTTACAATTTAATTACATATCTGCAGCTCTACAGTACTGTAAAATGATTTGGACTGGAAGAGACCAATAGAGACAAATTTACAAAAATTCTTGGCACTCAGCAAATCCTAAATGCAAGCAGCTCGTCTGAAAATGTGGGTAATAATCTAGGCCTAACCTCTGCATTGTGGCAATACAGACATCAACATTCCCCAAGTCTCCCTGGCCATAGGTGCTGAGTCAAGCCTGGAATCTCTTTAGTGATTGCTATTCCACATCCACCCTTGACAGACTGTTGAAGTTTTTGTTAATATTTTTAACACACAATTTCCTTACTGTAACTCTCTACTTCTTGAAGGTCCTTGCTGATCAAAGACACAGATTTTCCATTCACTCAAGAAAATTATTGTAGATAATTTTAGAAGTAAAAATGTATGTGCTGTTAAGTCTAACTTGCATAAAAGTTAGAAAAAAAATAGCAAAAATTTGCACCAGATTCTTCAACTAATAGAGGATTTAGTAAGGGAACATAACAGTTATTTGTTGGGTGCTAACAGCTCGCAGATCAAGAGGATGTGGATACAAATGGGGAGACTGGACAGGGTTCTACCCTAAAAGGCATGCTTCTGCAACCGTGCTCCCTGCTGGCTGGCACAGCACACAGACAGCTTTGTGATGTACAGAGTGCTGCTTGCTACGTGAAGCTCTAGAACAGGGGTGGCCAACCTGTGGCTCTTCAGAAGTTAATATGCGGCTCCTTATATAGGCACCGACTCTGGGGCTGGAGCTACAGGTGCCAACTTTCCAATGTGCCGGGGGGTGCTCACTGTTCTGCCACAGGCCCTGCCCCCACTACACCCCTTCCCGTCCCTTCCCCTGAGCCTGCCGTGCCCTCGCTCCTCCCTCGGGGAAGGAGGGAGAGGCACTGATTGGCGGGGCTGCCAGTGAGCGGGAGGCACTGGGAGCGGGGGGAGGGGTGGAGCTGATGGGGGGCTGCTGATGTATTACTGTGGCTCTTTGGCAATGTATATTGTTAAATTCTGGCTCCTTCTCAGGTTCAGGGTGGCCACCCCTGCTCTAGAACGTCCCCCTTCACTGGTTGCTTCTGGGAAGGGGTTAGGGTGAGTCTGAACTCACATGCAAGGGCTTGCACTTTCCCTGTCCACTTCCAGGGAAGTAAGAGGGGTGAATGCACCAAGACACTCCCTGCCACGTCTGGCGATTGTATGTGGGGACTCATGGGAGTGGTGAGGAGGAAGAGTTTACAAAGCTCTCGTTCTCTCCCCAACTCTGCCCCCCTTTCTTTCTCTCTTTCATGAACACAGTGAGGGAAAGGGTGTGGAATGGGAAGGGAAAACAAGTGATGGAGAGAATGTAATAATGAATATACTGTAGGGAATAAACGGGGAGGGAGGAAAAAGAGAAAACTGAACACCCTTGCCCTGCCCCCTTCTTCGAGGCCACCCTCCCCACTCACTTCATCCCCATCCCTCTGTCACTCGCTCTCCCCCACCCTTGTTCACTTTCACCAGGCTGGGGCAAGGGGTTGGGGTGAGGGCTAAGGCTGGGGGCACTCAGGTGGGGCCAGAAATGAGGGGTTCAGGGTGCGGGAGGGGGCTCCAAGTGGGGGGGGTTGGGGTGCGGGCTCCAGAAGGGAGTTTGAGTAGGGGCTTAGGGTTGGGGCAGCGGGTTTGGGGTGCAGGCTCCAGGTGGTGCTTACCTCAGGCGGCTCCCCGGAAGCAGTGACATGTACCTCAGCTCCTAGGTGCAGGGATGGCCAGGCAGCTCTGCGCACTGCCTCTGCCCGCAGGGGCCTCCCCCACAGCCCCATTGGCTGTGGTTCCTGGCCAATGGGAGCTGTGGAGCTGGCGCTCGGGGAGGGGGCAGCCTGCAGAGCCCCCCTGGTTGCCCCTACACCAGAGGGACATGTCGCCATTTCTGGGGAGCTGCGCAGAGCTGGATAGGGAGCTTGCCAACCCTGTGCCAACCGAACTTTTAACGGGCGCTGACCAGAGCCACCAGGGTCCCTTTTTGACCGGGTGTGCCAGTGGAAAACCGGGCACCTGGCAACCCTAATTTTACGGTGGACATTGTAGTTATATTTCTTTTATATATCAATACAATTATGTCTCCTGTTTCCACCCCGCCCCCCTCCATGTGTATGTCCTACATCTGGGGGAGAGAGAGAGAGAGTGTGTGTGAGAGAGAAAGAGAGAGAGCGCGCGGTACTGTGGCTTCCTTCTCTCTGCATGTTTTCCCACCCCCTCCTTTCTACCCTTCACATTTAATTTCACCTTATTTCCCCTTTCCTTCTTTATCCTCTATCCCCACTCTGCATCACCTGGTTATCCTGTCATATCCATGTGTTCCCTTTGCTCCCCCTCTATTGCTGCACCAACGCTATGAGAAAAGAACTTTCAAACATGTCCCCCCAGGAGTATAATTTGGCTAAAAAGCTGGATGGGATAGAGCTGTGGTCCCTTGTCATGTTCAGTCTCATCCTCCAACACATGCCCAGTGGCGCTGTTGGTCAAAGCAACACAGTGCAAGGCCAGGTGTGAAATTTCTTGCCTCCCCCAACACTCCACCCAGCCACTAATTGGCCAAAGATACTAGGTAGGGAAAAAGCTGCAGTCCCATACCGCACTGATTCCAGTGGCAGGGCAGGGTTCTTCTGTTTGAAGGGACATGGTTAAAGCTGCATGACACCCAGGACTGCACAAACCGTTTAAAACCATGAAGTCGCACTATTAACAGCATATATGTTACAGCAAACAGCATGTCAAGGAATTTCTAAAGTGTTGGTATCTTTATACATAATTGAGAGCATTTCTGTATATTATTAAAATGGATTACCAGGCTCTGGATTAACCATGTTGCTACAAAACATTTTAGAATTTGTCAATGGACACAGAACCATCATATATGCTCTTTGCAACAACACCATGCCATACAAGTAGATTCTCATAGGGTTTTCCATTGACACCTTTTGTTTACTTTTAAAGAGCTTCTAAATCTCCAGGTGGTATAGTAGACACAACTTGCAGTCAGATTAATTTGTTTTAGAGAAGTACTAAAATGAGGAGAACCATAATATTTGCTCCTTTTCTTCTGTTTACAAAAATTATATCAAGATGTATCTTTTCTCACCTTTCCCTCTGTTGAACTAGATGTAGCATTCATTTTATGCTTCTGCTTTTCTGAGAAATACACTTTGAAAAGCAAAAACATGATAGTGATGATACAATATAAAAAGGTTTCCCCGTGTACACATTTCTTCCAGGACCTATAGCTTTATAGGGAGGCAATCTCCTTTATCCTTCTACTAGTACCATCTGATGCTCATATTTAGTTGGGTGCATCTGTGTGTCATTTGGGGACAATAGGTAAGTAGGAATCCACTTTATTAGGGTTGAAATTGTGCATTTCAGGGTCCATAAGACAGCAATTCTTCCTACTATAGCATGCCTTTATTAACCAATATTTGCTGAATCCTTGACTATCAAACCAATTACACCTCTACCCCGATATAATGCTGTCCTCGGGAGTCAAAAAATCTTACCGCTTTATAGGTGAAACTGTGTTATATCGAACTTACTTTGATATGCCGGAGCACGCAGCCCCCCCACCCCCGGAGCGCTGCTTTACCGCGTTATATCTGAATTTGTGTTATATCGGGGTAGAGGTGTACTTCCCCATTGGCATTTGAATCATTTATCAAGCATGTTCTTCGAACATTACATTTGATTTGTGCTTTGACATGTATCATCCTCAAATACACAAAACACACAGAGCCGCTTACTAACCTCCTTATGAGGATCCTTATGAGCTTCTAGTGTCTTCATAATTGTAAGCTCCGCATAATTTTTAAATCTTGCTGGTTGGTTCCTTAGAATTTCTCTTAAAACTTTCAATGCCAAAGCTCTGATTGCATGCTAAAGGTTAAATATTGTATATAATTGAGTTATTTCTCTTTGAATGGACAATGTGCTTTTAATATTAGCTCAGCAATTGGACACAAACTTGTTTGACAGTGGAAATATAATGTAAATTATAATACGCTCCCCGCAAATGCATACAGTACAAGCCTATTCATTCAAGCTATAAGCATATGGAACTACCAGAAAAATCTTTACATCATCCCAACCCATATTCTCACCCCTTCTCTATACATATATCTTACATGGTGTTATGAAGTTTTTACTAAGCAACGTATGTAGATACAATGTATGCCTGCAAAATCACAAGCAACATATGCAGATCATCCCAAGTGAGCGCCAGTAAAACCTTTACACAACACTATTCCCATATTTTGTCTAAATCACTTATTTTACAAAAAAATGGTTTAGAAATATTTTAGTTTTCAAAAATGTTATTGCAATTTTTGAGTCCCTCTGATTGAAAAGACATGTCTAGTTCCAAGTCTAACTATGGTATACTAATTACAGTAAGCCTAATTATATGGAACTGAAAGGGACTTGCCAATTATAACTACATTTTAGAAGCCTCTAAAATTACTTAAAATTTATTTCCTATACATAATGTTGTATGTGTTTTAGAATTTTCTACCTTGGAACATAGCAGGGGCTAGCAAAAGCTAAGTTTCGTATTCTCCCAGAAAGCTAGGGAAACCATCTCTCTCCTACCCCATATTCTCCTCTTTTGGAAAGGTGTACACACTAGGGATGTAAAATATTAAATGGTTAACTGGTTAACTGGTGAGGATTAGTCTTACTGTTAACCCACACTAACTGTTAATCCCCTGCGTGCGGGTCTTGAACCGGTTCTCCTGCAACAGACTGACCTGTGCCCCAGCTGTGCCAGCCCCAGCCCAGTCGGGGCGGGAGGTGGGGTGGGGTTAAAGTAGTCCCCGGCCTCCCCCAGCGCCACTGGAAGGGGTTTGGCTGAGGAGACGGAGGGCGCATTGGTCAGTGAAGGGAAGGGAAGCTGCTGCTGGGGTGGCACGGAGTGTCTGCGGAGGCCACATTGGGACAAACTAGATACCTGGTCCCCTCTCCCTTTAATCGGTTATCTGGTTAAACAATTTAATTTTATAGTTTAAATGGTTATCTTATTAAACGATATTTACATCCCTAGTATACACAAACTTCCTATTTATACATTTTTAAAGGCAAGCTTTGCATGGCCCACTTAGAAGGCGACCTACAAATAAGAATACTTTGAATTTCATAGTAATTAGCTGAATACCCCCAAACCCTAAGGTAAAAAAAGGATGAGCAACCAATTTTAAGCTTCCATAACTCCCACCCCAGAGATCAAACTAATAGTACCCGCTGTGCATAATATATATGAATTATACTGTCATCCACCAAAAAAATCACCTGAAACATGAAGCCAGTATAGGAAACAGGGGAGGGAGAATCAGAGAAATGCCATATTGATACAAAAGGGTGTGTATTTTTCAGTTATTTTGTATTTTATTTTTTTAAATTGCTATCTCAATATAAATATGTAGTATGGAGAAAAAGCCATGTACCTGACCCCTATCCAGTCCATTATCAGATGCTGGACTGTGTGTGCCTAATGCACAGAACTTTGGACAGAGTTCAACAAGACTGGATACTGGGAGAATCCAAAAGACGAAAAAAAACCTGTAAAGTAAACATGACGACTGCCTCTTTTTACTTTTTGGGGCACTAAGATCATTCTAAATTTAAAGAAATTTTCTTAGTCCGATTTGTAGACTGTCATTAAAAAGTATTTTACTACTACCAGCAACTTGTCTATCCCCTTCTAGAGATACCATTTAAACCCAATATGAATTTCATCCATGTGAAGTGTTATTGAAGAATGGGCCCTAATGTCAAAAGCAACTTCCAGGCACGGTCAACTTTGGGTTGAACTTACCTCTTTGTCCCCAAGAGTTTCAAGTAACAGAAGTAGTATCGTTTTGAAGTGCTCATCCCAAACACCAAAGGACTCTTCTTGAGTCAATTTCATAAGCTCATACAAAGCAGCCTTTCTTTCTTCAACTCTCTCATTATGGTTTGACAATTCCTTCAGTAACTCTGCAACCAGATCAGAATGGTCCATAGGGGGCTCTATTAAAAAGGAATAAATGGACATATTCCTCAAACTGTAGAGGTGATAAAAAGCAACTCCTATCACATAATGCAGAGATAGTTTTAAGGCCTATCAGCCTAGAAATTGTTGTTTATTTTTCTCAGCTCTGTCTGCAAGGACATTTTTACCCTCAAAATAAACACAAATAAATACTGTATTTTCAGTGTGGTCAGCATTCCTGAGAAACAAATGTCTGGCATGATGGCAAAAAACAACTTGCAAATGAACTGACTGCAGCTTGAATCTTCCAGTGACTGAACAGGTGTGTAAAGCTGACTAGACTGGGAATTCCACAGGGCTGCCGCTGCTCAGGCTGCTGTCCCTAGGACAAGTTCTCTGTGTAGGAGAATTTAAAAAATATAGGGGAGGGATACCATAGTGATGAACAAGACATGAATAACTAGACTGATACTTATACAGATTGGGCAGTCAACCCAAGATGCCAGCAAAACTTCAATAAATCCTGGTCTCCAATGTGAATTCAAATATCAAGTTGTTGTCTTTACTTCGTTACCAAATAGTAAGATATCTCTGGCTTTTGAAAAGGGAACTCTCATGCCTTCTGCCTGTGTCTTGCTGTACAGGCAGAAGATTAAGAACCTCACAGTACTTTTTGAAGGAAAAAAGGTAAAACACATACACAAAAAAATCTCTCTCTCAAATAAACTTCTATTTTACAAGGCATATAATGGAAGGAGTCAAATTTTCGCACATCTGCAAAACATGGCAATTAAACAGAGAGTCTTGTATCTTTCTCTAGGACTATTTCAAGTTGACACTGAGCTACAAGTGAAATATTTCTGCAATAAAATTTGTTATGACATCACATACAGATAAATCCCATTAATCAGTCCTTGAGTTTATTATTACGTTATTACTATTTAGTAACAATAAGTCATCTTGGGGAGAAGAAACTAGCAAAAAGTGAATTCATTAGAGCTGTGTAAATTTTCACTACCTCAGTATAATATTTACCATCTACTGAATATTTTAGATCAAAACTTTTTCTGCAATGCATAGAATAGAACTCCACTTGTTCTATTTACCCTCTGTTTTGGATGAAAACCCAAGGACATGGATACATGAAAACAAAAATGTTTATTCAAGTAGTACCTCTCTCCCCTTCGACCATAAATGAGTATGTTAGAGTTTATCTGACTAATAATGCATGCTTTGCAAATTCTCTAAATGGACCATTAATGTTCACCTAAAGGAAACTGTTTTTTGCCTCAACCCTATGATAGTCATTAATTAGTAGAGAGGACTGGAACAGAGAACTTTTACTGAATATGATTATTTTTATTACCAAGGCCAAATTAGTCCTACCACACACACTGAAGATAAGATATCATGATAAATTTTATTATTGGGAACACATATTGACATTATATTAGGGAAACAAGGTATATATTCTGCCCTGACAGGTTAATTCCACAGTATAAATTTAATCAGCATGATATTCTCATCAACATTGCTGACTTCACGCATTCAAAGGTTATTGCATAAGTTCATGTGCTAAGAAATTTAGCAGTTTTTGAAGGACTGACGTATAATACTGCTCTGGGTACCAAACAATTAAATTAAATGCATAGTATGAATTTGTAGCTAATGTGACACTAATTTTTAAAAAAGACTCCAGAGGCTATCATGGCAATTACAGGGCGGTACTCCTAACTTCAGTTCCAGGCAAAATGGTTGAAACTATAATAAAGAACATGGGCGGTGGGTGAAGCTTCCTCTTGGAGAGGCAGTAGCACCCCAGACAGCCTCTTCTGCCTGTGGCCCCACCCATACTCCACCCCTGCTCTGCCCCAGGCCCCACCCCCTCCCCACTGTCTCCCTCATCTTTTCCCTCCCACTCCCCCTCCACGCTCACCCCTGCCGCGTGTGCATCCCCCTTCCAGCCAAATCCCTGAATCCAAGCAAATGAAAAAAATATATATTTGAAAAACAAAAAACAAAAAACCCTCCACTTTTCTGCAATTTCTTTTTAAAGAAAATGGAGCATGTTTTCCACTCTGTGCCAGATGGTGTTTGTGAAGACTGGACACGCAGAAGGTACCTAATTAAAAGCACTAAACTTGGGAATAAAAAATATCAGTCACAGGTTTTTTGATATACCCTGATAGCTGATATGCAGGCAGCCTGCAAAACAGCTTTTTCAAGTGCCCCGACCCCCTCATTGATCCTGGGGAACATATAATGGCAAACAGCAGTTAAAACTAATTGAGAAATCTCTCTCCTTTCTTCACGCAATAAAACAAGGTGTCAGGCCTCACCCTCAGCTGGCATTTACACCCTGACAGGAAGAAAATGGCTGGAATCAGACTGCAAAAGCTGCCACCTCATTTTCATTTCTTCACACAAACAAGCTTGAGCACTTCCTATGTTTATTGTTCCAACAGCAGTAAGCACCTCAGGCAATGAATAAGAACTGCCAAGAGGAGTGGCTGCTGCAGCTGGAGATGAATCCTGGCAGTAAAATAAAGGCTGGCTGCTACTTTAACAACAACAATACCCGCTTAGCTCACAGAACCAAGAAGGCAAAAAGTCCCACTGAGGCAGCATGGGGATGCCAGCTTTACGTACCAGACCAGCAGACCCTATATCCCCAGGGGTGAAGGAACCAAATCCCCAGCCCCATTCTCATGAGAAACTGGCCACCAGGCAAATGTAATCTCCCATCCACTGAAAAGAGTTGAGTCTTATCCTCTCCTCCCCGCCGCCACATTCCTCCTCCCTCTGCCTCCCACTTCCTTCCCTCCATACCCCTCTCCCCACAGGCTTCCGCCACTCAAGTTCTCTCCCACCGCCGAGCGCTCCCCTGGCCCTGCCCATCGCAGAATTTGAACAAGTAAAAAAACCCAATTGCCCTATGCCCATTGCTTACCTGTGGGAACGCTCTGAAGGGCTCTGGCCCAGGTAGAGGGGGATCCATTACTCCTGGCCATTTATTGCTTAGTCTCAGCTGCCCAGTCCTGCTTAGCTGGCACTGGCCCTGGCCCTGAGGACAGGACAGCATAGGGTACCTACTGCCACAAGTAATCCAGCCTTCCCTGCAGCACACTGACTGACTGCACACATAGCATAAGGCTGGCTGGCCTACCTGTGTCTTTGTCTAGCCCTCCCACCTCCTACTTTGTAAAGTGATGATGGGGGCGGGCCCGGCGGGGCCCTGCTCCTAACCCCCTTTGGCAAGTTGCTCCACCATCACCCAGTGGGAGGAGGAGTTGTCCCATAAAGTCCCAAATTTAAATTCTCCTTTGATCCAGGAGGAGTGCCTACTGCATGAATGCTGATCAAAAAGAATAAATGGACACAAATCGGACATCAGGAATGGTAACATACAAAAGCCAGTAGGTGAACCCTTCAATCTTCCTGGACATTCTATAACAGATTTAAAAGTAGCTATACTTGAACAAAAAAAAGTCAGAAACGGACTTCAAAGAGAAACAGCAGAACTAAAATTCATTTGCAAATTTAACACCATTAATTTGGGCTTGAATAGGGACTTCGAGTGGCTGGCTCATTACAAAAGCAGCTTTGCTTCTCCTGAAATTGACACCTCCTCATCTATTATTGGGAGTGGACTACATCCACCCTGATCGAATTGGCCCTGTCAACACTGTCCACTTGTGAAGTAACTCCCTTCCCTTCATGTGTCATTATATAATGCCTGCATCTATAATTTTCACTCCATGCATCTGAAGAAGTGGTGTTTTACCCACAAAAGCTTATGCCCAAATAAAACTGTTAGTCTTTAAGGTGCCACCAGACTCCTTGTTGTTTTTACTGCATGAATGAAGCATAAAGGTTTTGGAATTGTAAAAAACACTTTGCAAAACTGCACTTCTAAGCACTTTCCATCTGATGACCTCAAAGCACCTAACCAAAAACAATGAATTTACACAAACTCCTGTGAGGCAGGCAATTATTATTATTATCCCTGTTTTTCGGATGGAGAAACTGAGGTACAGGTTAATTAAGGCCCCTATCTGCTGTCTTTTTAAATCAATGGAAAGACTCCCCTTGATATCAAGCCTTAAATGATGGGTCCAATGTCACACTGGAAGTCTGTGACGGGGGGACATTAATAAAACCCCAGATCTCCACATTTCTAGGAGTGGGGAGCACAGGCCACTGGCTGCATTGAGGTGGAAGTTCACCCTGAAGTCCCACCTCCCCCAGTATAGGGACTCGGCAGTGAGGCTGCACCTGACCTGACACAATGCAAGGGCTAGACATGTAGATGAACACGATTTGTTGGGGAAGAATCAACACGTCTTTTGTAAAGGGAAATCATACCTCACCAATCTATTAGAATTCTCTGAGATGGTCAACAAACAGGTGGACAAAGGTGATCTAGTGGATATAGTGTACTTGGTCTTTCAGAAAGCCCTTGACAAGGTCCTCACCAGAGGTTCTTAAGCAAAGTAAGCAGTCACAGGATAAGAGGTAAGGTCCTCTCATGGATCAGTAACAGGTTAAAAGTCAGGAAACAAGGAGTAGGAATAAATGGTCAGTTTTCAGAATGGAGAGACGTGAATAGCGGTGTCCCCCAGGGATCTGTACTGGGACCAGTAATGTTCAACATATTCATAGATGAGCTAGAAAAAGGGGTGCAAACAGGGAGTGGCAAAGTTTGTAGCAATACAAAATTACTCAAGATAGTGAAGTTCAAAGCAGACTGCGAAGAGTTAAAAACGGATCTCACAAAACAGGGTGACTGGGCAACAAAACGACAACTGAAACTCAATGTGGGTAAATGCAAAGGAATGCACATTGGAAAACATAATCCCAACTATACATACAAAATGATGGGATCTAAATTAGCTGTTACCTATCAAGAGAGAGATCTTGGAGTCATCGTGGATGGTTCTCTGAAAATATCTGCTCAATGTGCAGCAGCAGTCAAAAAAGCTAACAGAATGTTAGGAACCATTAGGAAAATGATAGATAAGAAGACAGTAAATATCAAAATGCCACTATATAAATCCATGTTACACCCACACCTGGAATACTGCATGCAGTGCTGGTCACCCCATCTCTAAAAAGATATTAGAAACTGAAAAGGTACAGAGAATGGCAACAAAAATTATTAAGGCTAAACTTCCATATGATGAAAGATTAAAAAACGGGACTATTCATTTTGGAAAAGAGACGATTAAGGGGGAAATATGATAGAACTCTACAAAATCATGACTGGTGTGGAGAAAGTGAATAAGGAAGTGTTATTTACCCCTTCACATAACACAAAAACCAGGGATCACCCAATGAAATTAATAGCAGCAGGTTTAAAGCTAACAAACTGAAGTATTTTTTCACAAAATGCACAGTCAACCCGTGGAACTCATTGCCATGGGATGCTGAGAAGACAAAAAGTATAACTGGGTTAAAAAAAGAATTAGATAAGTTCATGGAGGACAGCTAATAGCCATTGATGGGCCTAAGATGGTCCGGGATGCAACCCCCTACTCTGGGTGTCCTTAGGCCTCTGACTACCTGATGCTGGGAGTGGACAACAGGTGATGGATCACTTGATTGCCATGTCCTGTTCATTCTCTCTGAAGCATCTGGCATTGGTCACTGTCGGAAAACAGGATACCGGGCTAGATGGACCATTGGTCTGACCCAGTATGGCCATTCTTATGTTATGCTAAAAAAAAATCCAGCATGCCTGTCCAATTTTTTGGAATACTAATGTTTGACAGACAGCCTGGAATGATCAGTACAAGTAAAGTCAGTAGTTTCATTCAGTTTACTAAAATCACCAGAAACACCATGTCCTTGGTGATAAAGGATGCTCACACTGTAATATGGTAACACCCTGCTAAATAGAGAGATTTGATTATTTTTACTCGGTGCAGAATTCATATGGCCTGCATATTTCTGTGTCCCCTGTGCAGAAAAATGCAAATCTGCAGGGGGGAGGACACGACACGCGCCTCTTCCCCAGCAGCCCAGGCAGCGTCTGTTCCAGTGTGCCTAGAGCAGCCTCAGAGTTGCAAATCACTGCACGGGGAGAGGGGCTGGGCATGCGTGCCTGTGGGGGAGATGATATCCGTCAGGGGGCAGAGCTGGGCGTGCGTCCCTGCCAACAAGCAAGATAGACTCTGTCCCTCTTGCTCGCTGCTGCAGCTCGCCAGGGGCGTGCAGGGGTAGGTCTTTTTATTATGCAGGAGGAAGGCTCTTTCCCGGAGCCAAAAAAGTAGCAGCCTGCCTGCTAGCTAATTGATCTCATTCTCTGAGTCAGAAATGTAGCAGCCCGCCTGCATAGTAACAGTGTTAATGTTCCTATTGGTTAGTTAACTGTTCCCATTCTTAGTCAATTCCCCCAAGAGCATAAAACCTGTAAAAGTTTTAAGGCTCCTACATTGCCACAGTGATGTAAAGCCTTATAAATGACAGTAAGGGAATCAGCTAGGAAGATCTATGTACTTTCTCACATTTTTCCTGTGCCAAAGTGGCACAATGGGGTTAGATTACAGCTCAGGATTTGTTTTACTTACCCATTAAAAAAAAAAAAAAAAAAAAAGTCTTTGAGGACAAATAAAACATTTACCAAGCAGTCAATAAAATATCAGGACAATCAGAAGCAAGCACTTCCCAAAGTACCCAGTCAAGTCCAGGACAATGATTAGCAAAACTGTATGACTTTCATGTGTGAAAGTCTGAGCAATTTAAAATGACATTCTACTTATTTTTTCCCCTCTTTGGTGTCATGTAATTTAAATGAAAATCCAGGATTATAACTTGAATGCAGGGTATTAGTTACCAAGTGTTTGTAAACTTAACTTCCTTGTGTTTAGGAAATGCTGAATAGTTATTGTGACGTTTTCTGTATTGTAGTTTAAATACATTACCAAAATAATTGAAACTGGTGTGATTATATTGCATTATTTTGACAAATAAAATACGTCGAATTTTGAATTTTTTGGTGCAGAATCCCCCCAGGAGTAATGATTACATTACTGCATAATGTTACCAAAATGAAAAGCTAAGAGTTGCAATGATTAACATTTCATTTCTTATGTTTACATATCAGCTATATGTAAAGATGTTAAAACTTCCTAAATAAATAGTAAAACACGAACATTGGCATTTACTCACCCCAACCATAACTTGGTAAAAAGCTATGTCAATAACTAGAAGTGCACTTAGGTTAGATCCAGTAAATATCATATCTTTTTATCTTACATAAAATAATTGAAGACTAACTGACAGTGGCTGTTAATGCTGACAACTAGCTATATAAATGGTGACGTTTCAAGAAAAGCTGAATATAAGTTAACTTTTCAAGTAGAGAATCTCATAAATCTCACTCTGAGTGCAATTACTAAATCTGAATACAAACAATGCCAGAGAGTGTATTGTTTTCTTTCAGGTAGTTCCTATGGCAAACCATTGCTTAATACCAGAACTACAGTTGAGACAGAAGCAAGAAATCCCTTCTCATCAGTCTCTAATAAGAACTGCTCCTTAATGACATAATAAAGATTAGACTATAACTGAATACTCATTTCAAAATATTCACTATCTACTGAAGCAATACAGCAACAATCCCCCCTTCCAGTTTTTCTGCATTGCCATCATATTTTAAAAGGTTTCCTTGAGATTTTCAGTAAGGTGTACAGCATGTACAATTGGGAGTGTCAAGAGGCCAGGGGCCTTTTGCTGGTGTATGCTCTATGTTAAAAAAAAGTGAAAAGTTAAGACTTCATTACAAATCTGTGTATTCAACTTAATATGATATCATTTCATCATGAACAAAATCACTTTTCTATATACTTGAATTTGTTTCTGAGCATGGATAGCAGTATGATTATAAGGTAAAGACCATTAGAATTAGACTTTAAAACCTTTTATAAATGTATTTTTAATTAACATGAGGTACTTATCGAAATGAAAGAGTAATTCAAATAATTTATAATTTTACTTAAGTGCCTCAAGGTCTACTTGGTAGGACAGTAAAGACAGTTTGCCAGACACTAGTACAGGTTCTACAAGCTTCCTTCTCCTTTACTTAAAGAGGAATCTCTCCACTGGTCCACAGTCCACTGTTTTTGCCCATCTACCATTTAGTTGTGCATATTCTAACCTGCAATGGAATACCAAAAGCCACAACTGTTCCCTATCCAGTTGTTAAACCACCATTCCCTCCAATCCAAGCAACTTCAACACACTGAATATCTGGGGGTAATGGAAAATAAATCGAATACAATATCAATATAAATAAATAACACAGAGGATACTATACTGATTGACATGGATGAAAGAGTAGTGATTGAGAGAGGGCTAGGTAGACAAAGCAGTGCTGCATAATCCTGGAGACACTGCTACCTATGGACACACTTCAAACCAAACTCTCAGTAGGGTGCTATCTTAGTGGTCATCATCTTTTTGTTTCAAGAATGTGGGGCCAGATCCTCAGCTGGTCATCAGTGTTTTGCCTCAATTCAGACCAGTTGATAATTGGGAACATAAAGTTCACAATGGAGCTACAGCCAGCACCATATCTATAGAAAATGTTATTATAAGCTACAGAATTAGGGAAGAAAAATGAGCAAGAAAGAATGAGAGAAGGAAACAAATGCAAAATAAAACATTTGGTTATAAACATTACAAGAAAATATACAGAAAAAGATTAAAAGCAGCAAGCTGAATAATCTTTACAAAAGATTATAAAGCAGCAAGCTGAATATCTATGTCGACATGGTCTGAGCACAGCCACCTTTTCAGCACATGCATTTAAAAAAATGTTTCGTCAACACAAAATACCCCCGACTTGTGTTTCAAATAAAAATATTTCACTACCAAAACTCTGTGCTGTTAATCTTTCATCTGTAGCCAAAACTAGTTTTACCCAGTTTCTTTTTTCATTATGTAATTCACAAAGATCTTTTTTCCCTTGACCAACTGAAAAAAATTAGCTAAAGCAACATAACTACAAATATTTTTTCTTTTTGACTGTCATGCACTAAAATGTACTTACTACAACCTAAGCCCAAATATACAGTATATGCTACAGTTAGCAATTCTCTTATCCCAGTCCCTTACTTTTCCTGTAACTTTGTATTTATGAGGAAGAATATTAATACTGGAGTATTCCATTACATTGGAATTCTGTCTGATAGCTTTTGTAACACTGCTTGCTTTTCACATTACTCAGATAGGATTTGCTATTCAATAAACCTAGTCCAAAAACATGATTTATTGCATCAGCAGTCCGGTTCCTTCAGATACATGTATGTATAGCTAATTTAGCTTAGCCTCTATTTATTACATGAAAACCTTAATGACTACGCAACACATGTAGACAAATCTTACGATTTCCCCTCTAACAAAGAATGTAATCTAGAACTTACCTTCAGGAAATTGCTCTGCATCATCATCAAACATAGCTTCTTTCAAAGCAGATTTGTTAAAAGAACTGATACTATCCGAGTAATTGTACGGGTTATAATCTCGTGAACGTGGAGAAGAGTGGGGAGGCATTGTGTTAAGTAATGATGTTTTGTTATCAAGAGCTGTTCGGCCTGTATCAATTGCTCCACCTCCTGCTCTCAGATCCGCTATTCCAGAGCCACTGCAAATCTGCCAGGAAAAAATAAAAACACCCCTCCCCATAAACATATTTAATATCTCACTCACTTTTTAGTTCACTATTCCTCTTAGGTTAACAGTAGCAAATAATAGTCTTGTCTACACAGGAAAGTTAGTGTGCAGCAAGCTACGTGTAAATTTACCGCACTCTAGCTACTCTACACTAATTCCTTTGTGGAGATTCCTATTGTGCACTAAAAGTGCTCTTGGGTGGCTTAGCTTTTAGTATACTTTAAAATCCATTTCTTTAAAGGGTTAAGCTAAAGCGCATGACGGCCCTCTTAGCACACAGTAACAGTGTCCACATGTGGGAGTTGTACAGAGTAGGCAGTGGGCTGTAAATGCACACCCTAAATTGCTGTGTGCTAAGTTCTCATGTAGACAATCCTAAAGACAAGCTACAAAGTTTGCAAGGTTCCATGGGTGCCACAGAATACCAACTAACATCTGAAATTGGGTCATTGTTTCTCAACACTTATGGCTTGTGTAAATGAACACTTAGTTCGCAGCAGGCTGAGTTGTAAATCTACCCTATACTACTGTGCCGTTCACTAAGTGTCCACCTGAACCCTGCTGCCATGCATTGAGCACTGTAGAACAGTGGTTCTCAAACTGTGGTCCGTGGACCACAGGTGGTCCGCGAGCTCCATTCAGGTGGTCCGTGGATAGTTCCCTCTAAGATGCGCGTCTGGATGGCCACACACAAGAGAATGAAGGGAGACCCACCTAATTAGTGGAGCCATGCAGGCATGGCTACATTAATTAGGTGCCTGGTCCCTGGAGAAGATGCACGTTTGGTGAGGTAGTGGCCTTGGGGGAATAGGGGGTAGGTGAGAGGGGGCAGTGGTGTGAGAAGAAGGGGTGGGGGGTGGGGGAATTTGGGATGTGCAGGGTTGCGGCGGCCAGAGAAAGAGGCGACTTTCTACAGCTCCAGGGCTGCGGCTGCCGGGGAGAGATGGCCCTCCTTCCCAGCCTCAGCTCGGGGGCTGCTGCAGTGGGGGAGAGAGGGAGAGACACCCCCCCCCCTTCCCAGCCCCAGCTTGGGGCTGCCATGGCAGGGGAGAGAGGGCACATCCATCGCATTAGAAAGATAAGACTACTGATATTAAAATATGAGTTGTGCACTTTTATTTGTAGAACAAAAAACCATAATAATAATAAAGTTTTTTCTTATATAGCGCTTTTATCCAAAGCTCTTTACAATAATTAGCTAACGGTACAAACAACATTTGGAAAGATCTTTAAGTGGTCTGCCGAGACCCTCAGCAATTTTCAAGTGGTCTGCGAGAAAAAGGTTTGAGAACCACTGCCCTGGGGAACTTTTAGTGCACAAAAGTAGGGTCCAAACAAACCCCTAGTGCACAGCACACTAGATTTAAATGCTACTTTCTGTGAACTAAGTGTTTATTTAGATGAGCCCTCAGAAAGCTTAGCTTTCCTCTCAAATGGTGCGTATGAACATTGCCTAAAAAGGACTTAGGTGTTTGAACTGAACACAAAACAGCAATGTTTTCATAGAGGAAGCTTAAAGTTAGGTATTTAAATCCATATTTAAGCACCTAAATAATTGGCCTGATTTTCTGTTGTGTTGTGATTTTTAGAACCATAGATACCCAAGTTTGAAAGTTTTGCCCACAGCTTTTAGACACTATAAAACATTTGTTTGAACTTGCTCCTTTTGATGGACACACATCAAAAGGTGTCTAGAATTATTTTTACTCAAAGTTTTGCTCTTTGAAAGAGATTTCATGAAGTACATATTTCATTCAAATGATATTATTCGGGGACAGAAATCATACAGTCTCCCTCCAGTACAACAGCAAGAATATAAAGCAGATTGTTTAGTCTGAAACAGGTAACACCAATAAGCAGCTGCAAGTTAAAATTAAAGCCATAGTCCAACAGGCTTTAAAGTGCTGGCATTCTATATAGACTTGATTAGCAGCATGGCTTTTTGTAATTAGAATTTGACATCTCTAACATAAACAGGTTATTTTACTTTAAGACTAGGAATACAATTTTCAAAAGCACCTAAGTGACTTAAGGAGCCTCAGTCCCATTTTCAAAAGGTTGATAGGCATGGATAAGCATTTAAGATCCTAAAGGCCTACGGCACTTTTGAAAATAGTACTTAGGTGCTCTGAAAATTCTACCCTTGATACACAAATCGATTTAAAGAGACAATTCAGCTGTACTTAATCAGCTCCTCACGTTGTCATTCAAACACTCACTGAATCACCATCGTCCTTTTTGGAATCCCGTTTCACAGGCTCATTCATATCTTCCTGACTACGGAAACTGAAGTTCTGAATTGCTTCAGTGACGCCACGAAGAGAACTATAAATATCTTCAGAATTCATGTTTTCCGTGTCATAATCGAATGCACTGTAGATCCAGGGAAACATGGAAGAAGGGGATAAAAAGGTTCAATTTATTTTCTGACTATTATTTTACTGAGGAGTGGGGCCACAGGAGTGGAACCACACTCCTGTGGGAGCTGTGGTGGCTGCCTCTCAATGGCACCCCGCCTTCCTTTGTTAAGGAGACCATCAATGACTGATACTTGGGACTTCAAGTGGTGGAACTGGATGGCCAACAAGGGGTCTACTTATTTAGGAACTGCAGCAGGAGGAGCTTAGGAACAGCAGAAGCAGACTGTTGCTCCACTCTCTACTGCTGAAAGTATTAATGCCTTGAGCTTCTGCACAGTTTCTCTATTAAAATAAACTATTATAGTGAACTTGCCTACAATTTTAACATTTAAAACTTCCAACTACTAAATCCATCACCATCAAAAACATGACCTATGAAATCCTCTAGACTGGTAGAAATGGCAGTTAAGCTGTAGAGCATTTCATTGGTTACTTCCTTTTACCCTCCAAAATTTTAAGTTGTCTGGAGATTGGTCCTAGTTCAGGGGTAGGCAACCTATGGCACGTATGTCGAAGGCGGCACGCGAGCTGATTTTCAGTGGCACTCACATTGCTCGGATCCTGGGGGGCTCTGCATTTTAATTTAATTTTAAATGAAGCTTCTTAAACATTTTAAAAACCTTTTTTACTTTACATACAACAATAGTTTAGTTATATATTATAGACTTATAGAAAGAGACCTTCTAAAAACATTAAAATGTATTACTGGCACGCAAAACCTTAAATTAGAGTGAATAAATGAAGACTTGGCACATCACTTGTGAAAGGTTGCCGACCCCTGTCCTAGTTAATAGTTTTTAGTAAGTGATTATTCTAAGTATCCAGTGGTTGATTTAACTTGGGTAAAGTTCTTTCTGCACTTTTTGATGGGGTTGGAATTCAGGAGAACACATAAAAAACCCCATAACACCAAGTTATCATGTAAAGTTATAATGTAGCCTTATATTACCTTGGTGACAAAGTATTCTGTGATGTATTAGTTGGGGAAGTGAGAGGACTGGACCAACTGGCTGGTGAACGTGGCGTAGGTCTTGTTAAAGGACTTCCCATTGACCCCTATGAAAAAATGATATTCTAGTAAAAAATAACATTTCCTTTTAAATTGATGTTATATTTAGTTTTTAACACCAGAAAAGTTCTGAGATTAGCTAGCTAGATAAAAACAACAAGGAGTCCATGTGGCACCTTAGAGACTAACAAATTTATTTGGGCATAAGCTTTTGTGGGCTAAAACCCACTTCTCATCAGATGCATGGAGTGGAAAATACAGTAGAGAGGTATAAATACACAGCATATGAAGAGATGGGAGTTGCCTTACCCAATGAGTGTGTGTGTGTGTATGCGGGGGGTGTCAGTGCTAACGAGCCAATTCAATTAAAGTGGAAGTGGGCTAGTCTTAACAGTTGACAAGAAGGGGTGGAAATCACTTTTGTAATTCTAATGAGTTCTAATGAGGCCAATGTAATCATGGTGGCCCATTTCAAACAGTTAACAAGAAGGTGAGAGTATCAGCAGGGGAAAATTAGTTTTTGTAGTGACCCATCCACTCCCAGTCTTTATTCAGGCCTAATTTGATGGTGGCCAGTTTGCAGAACTGGAATTAATTTGCAATTTCTCGTGGGAGTCTGTTTTTGAATTTTTTTGTTGAAGAATTGCCACTTTTAAGTCTGTTATTGAGTGTCCAGGGATATATGCCATCATGTGCCAGCAATGCCCCTCTGCCATGTACCTTGGCCAAACTAGACAGTCTCTATGCAAAAGAATAAATGGACACAAATCTGACATCAGGAATTATAACATTAAAAAACCAGTAGGAGAACACTTCAATCTCCCTGGACACTCAATAACAGACTTAAAAGTGGCAATTCTTCAACAAAAAAACTAATTTCCCGCTGCTGATACTCACACCTTCTTGTTAACTGTTTGAAATGGGCTACCTTGAGTACACTGGCTTCATTAGCACTTCAAAAGTGATTTCCACCCCTTCTTCTCAACTGTTGAGAATAACCCACTTCCACCTTAATTGAATTGGTTCGTTAGCATTGACCCCCTACTTGATAAGGCATCTCCCATCTTTTCATATGCTGTATATTTATACCTCTCTACTGTATTTTCCACTCCATGCATCTGATGAAGTGGGTTTTAGCCCACAAAAGCTTATGCCCAAATAAATTTGTTAGCCTCTAAGGTGCCACAAGGATTCCTCGTTGTTTTTGCTGATACAGACTAACACGGCTACCACTCTGAAACCTAGGTAGATATAAGTAATTTCAGAAACTAAAGAAATAGGCATGATATATATTACTGTTTGTGAAAGTTAAGAGCACCAAGAGCTAACATGATCAGTTTACTTAAAAGTAATAATGCTGAGAATTCTCAACTTTTTGAAATATATACACACATCCTCTTTTTAAAATAAGAACATTGTTAACTATAAATTAAGGGAGACTCCTAATTAGAAGCCCCTTGAAAATAAATAAAACCAAACTAAAAATAATAAAAAAACCCAGTTACCTACCTTCACGTAACTGTTCTTCGAGATGTGTTGCTCATGTCCATTCCAAGAAGGTGTGCGCATGCCGCGTGCGCAGTCGTCAGAAGGAGTTTCCCCTAGCAGTATCCATCGGGTTGGCTGTGGAGCTTGCTGGAGTTGCACCTTCAGGCGGTGTATATAGGTCCCTGCTGACCCACCGCCTCTTCAGTTTCTTCGGAGTACTCTGACAGAGGGGCAGGCAGATGCTTCTTGGAACGGACATGACCAACACATCTCAAAGAACAACAGTTAAGAGAAGGTAGCTAACTGTTTTTTCTTCTTCAAGTGCTTGCTCATGTCGATTCCAAGTAGGTGACTCCCAAGCATCTCCTAGGAGGAGGGCTCGGAGCTCAGTGGGTCGCAGACTGCAGCACTGCTCTGCCAAATGCGGATTCGTCTCTGGCCTGCTGCGTAATGGCGCAGTGCGATGTAAAGGTGTGGATCGATGACCACATCGCTGCTCTGCAGATATCTTGAACAGGGACTTGTGCCAGGAACACCACTGAGGATGCCTGGCCCCAGTGGAATATGCCATCAGCATGGGGGCAAGTATCTTTGCCAGGTCGTAGCATGCCCTGATGCAGACCATGATCCATTAAGAGATTCTTTGGGACGAGACTGGAAGCCCTTTCATTTGCTTTGCAATCGCAATGAAGAGTTGCGTTGATTTCCCAAATGGCTTAATTCTTTTGATGTAAAAGGCTAACACTTGCCTGACATCCAAGGAGTAGAACATTCGCTCCCAGTTGCTAGCATGCGGCTTAGGAAAGAACACTGGAAGAAATATATCCTGGTTCACGTGGAATTGTGAAACTACCTTTGGGAGAAAAGGTGGGTGGGGCGCAACTGCACCTTGTCCTTACAGAAGACAGTATATGGGGGCTCAGAAGTTAAGGCCTTAAGCTCAGACACCCTCCTGGCTGAAGTTATAGCCACCAAGAACGCTACTTTCCAGGAGAGTGAGAGAAGAGATCATGTTGCTAGGGGTTCAAAGGGAGGACCCATGTGTCTTGAGAGTACCAGGTTGAGATCCCATGGGGGGACTGGTTGTCTTGAGGGTACAGTCTATCTAGTCCTTTGAGGAAGCAGCCAATCATAGGGCTAGCGAAAACCGACCGGCCAGCCGAATCAGGATGGAAAACCGAGATAGCGGCCAGGTGCACCTTTACTGATGACACTGACAGGCTCTGCTGTTTCGGATGTTGTAAACAGTCCAGGATAAAGGGAACTGATGACTGTAAAGGTGGAGTGTCCTTTTGTAATGACCAAATAGAGAATCTCTTCCACTTAGCCAAATAAGTGGCTCTTATTGGTTTCCTACTGCCAAAGAACAACCTCCCTAACAAGGTCTGAGAACGTGAGCTCCAAGAGGTTTAGCCATGGAGATAGAGAGATTCTAGATTGGGATGTTGGAGGCGGCTGTGGTCCTGTGTGATCAAGACCGGGACCAGGGGCAAGGTTATGGGCGTGTCCACCGACAGGCTTAGGAGCAGGGTGAACCAGTGTTGATGTGGCCACACTGGTGCTATTAAGATCATTGATGCTCCCTCTCGTCTGACTTTTTGCAGGACCTTGTGTACAAGTGGGAAGGGTGGGAATGCATACAGCAGGTGATCCTTCTAAGAGAGGGGGAAAGCATCCATGAGCGAGCCCAGGCTGTGATTCAGGAAGGAATAGAATTGCTGACACTTCCTGTTGTGCCTTGTTGAGAACAAGTTTATCTGGGGAAACCCCCATCATTGGAAGATGTTGATCACAACATCCGGATGGAGGGACTACTCGTGATTGTGAAAGGACCTGCTGAGATGATCAGCTAGCGCATTCTGAGAGCCCGGAACGTACGATGCCTTTAGATGTATCAAGTGGGCAATGCAGAAGTCCCACAGTTTGAGAGCTTCCTGGAATAGGGGAGAGAAGCGAGCACCACCCTGTCTGTTTATACAGAACATCGCTGTTGTATTGTCGGTCAATACCGATACACATCTGCCCTCCAGATGGGTTTGGAACGTCTGGCAAGCAAGGCGAACCGCTCTTAGGAACCTGACGATGTGCAGCAAAAGTTCTGCCTGGGACCAGAGGCCTTGAGTCCTGAGTCTTCCTAGATGTGCCCCCCCATCCATTGCCAATGCCTCCGTGACTAGAGATAGCAAGGGTCGGAGCCTGGAGAAGGGTACTCCTGCACACACCGCTTGTGGGTTGAACCACCACAGGAGGGACTTGATAACCGGAGGAGGAAGAGTGACTATCGTATGTAGGCGGTCTTGGTTTGGCCTGTATACTGAGGCCAGCCAGGCCTGTATAGTCAGTGTCTCGCACGCTGAGCTACATACGTACAAGCGGCCGTATGGAGCGAGCAGCTTCAGGCAATTTCACACCATAGTAGTGGGGTATCATTGTAAGCCCCCTAATGTCACCCATGGTCAGAAAACGCAATTCCAGAGGGGCTGCTTTGGCTTGACCTGAGTCTAGGAAAGCGCCGATGAACACTATCCTCTGAGTGCGGGTTAGAGTTGACTGTGTCACATTCAGTATCAACCTGAGCCTGTCAAAAGTTGACCGTACCAGGTTCACATGCTCCTCCACCTGAGCTCTGGTGAGGAATGTGATTAGCAAGTCGTCTAGGTATGGGAATACTAGTATCTTCGCCTCCTCAAGAAGGCATCTACGACCAACATGCATTTGGTCAACACCCAAGGGGCCGCCGATAGCCCGAAGGCGAGAACCGTAAACTGATAATGGGTGTTGTTGACCACAAAGTGGAGGAACCGCCTGTGGGACAGGACTATCGCCACATGAAAGTATGTGTCCTTCAAGTTGAGGGTGGCGTACCAGTCCTCCAGATCCAGGGAGGGGATAATGGAAGCCAGAGAGACCATGCAGAACTTCAACTTTTTCATGAATCTGTTAAGGTTTCGCAGGTCTAGAATAGGCCTGAGCCTGCCCTTGGACTTCGGGATTAGGAAATATTGGGAATAAAACCCCTTGCCCCAGAACTCCTGAGGGACCTCCTCTACTGTTCCAGCTTCTAGGAGTGTTTGTAACTCCTGTATGAGAAGTTGCTCGTGAGAAGGGTCCCTGAAGAGGGATGGGAGGGATGGAACAGAATTTGAGAAAATATCCCAATTCGACCATGAATAAGACACATTGATCCAAGGTGATCCAGACCCAGGCATGGTAGAAATGGGATAGACAGTTCACGAAATGGAGGAAAGGATCTGGGATTTTACCTGGTGCATCACCCCCAGGGGCACCTTCAAAAGTTTTGCTTGGGGCCAGAAGACTGCCTCACCAAGCCCTGGCTCTGGGTGGACGAGGGCTGAGGTGGCCTCCTCCTACTATTTTTGCCCTGTTTCCTGTTGTAATCCTGTCTAGGATGAGTAGGGCAGAAGCATGGGGGAGGCGGAGGTTTGAAATGCTTCCTTTGTGGGGCTGGTATATGGAGTCTGAGAGATTTTAATGTCGCTTGCGAGTCTTTGAGACTGTGGAGCTTAGAGTCCGTTTGCTCCAAGAACACCCCTGATCCATCGAAGGGCAAGTCCTGAATTGTTTGTTGGACCTCATGCCCGAAGCCTGCAGCCATGAGCTCTTTCGCATGGCTATACTGGTCAACATCGTGCGGGTTGCCGAGTCCGCTGAGTCAAGTGTAGCTTAAAATGAGGTCCATGCTATAACCTTGCCCTCTTTGATGATGGCCCTAAACTCTGACTGGGATTCAGCTGGAAGCAACGCTTTAAACTTAGTCAGAGTATTCCAAGAATTGAAATTGTAGAGGCTGAGGACCGCCTGCTAGTTGGCAATCCGAAGCTGAAGCCCTCTGTTAGAGTACACCTTTCGGCCAAAGAGGTCCACCTTTTTGCCTCCTTAGATTTTTGGGTCCGACATGGGCTGTGCCGGCTGAGGATGGAGAGCTGACTCTATGAGGAGTAGTTTTAACCTAAAGTCTCTCTTTTTTTTGGTTCTTGGGCGGAACCTTGGCAGGTCTTGTACCTGTACGTCTGGTGGGCCTCCCCCAAGCACTTTAAGCAAGAATCGTGGGGGGTCACCCCTTGGCATAGGCTTCTGGCAGGACCCGCACAGCTTCTGGCATGCCCCAGTCCCCAGGAGAAGAACGCAGTGGGGGAAACCCCAACAGAAACATATCTAACCATAAAAACTACTTGAAACACCAATTAACACTAAGTTACCTATTTACAGGTACAAAGAGAAAGACCACTAGGGGATCGAGAAGAAAGCAGCTCCAGTGACTGTCATGGGTGGTAAGAAGGAACTGAAGAGACGGCGGGTTGGCAGGGACCTATATACACCACGATGAAGGCATGACTCCAGGGGGCTCCACAGCTGACCAACGAGTATGGCTAGGGGAAAGCCTTTCAATGACTGTGCACGCAGTGCACGCACACCAACTTGGAATTGACATGAGCAAGTCCTCAAAGAAGAACAACCTATATTAAGATGAAGATGAAAGTAATTATCAGTAACTTCAGAGCAAAAGAATAAGTGTAAATACCTGACCACCATTGCCCGTATTCCGGAGATGGTTGTGGAGAAGCTTTGTTGCTCCATCCTGAAATGTTTTTGGTAAAGCACCCAGTAACATTGTGAACTCTGGGGTATTTAGTTCAAATAGGGCAATCAGCACTGACTGTGCAGCCTAGAGCAAAGAAAATTAATGAAAACTATATGTGAATTTTTGTTTTAAAAATGTTAGATATTGAAAACGGCTTTATTTTACCAGTAAGGATTCCAGAGAAAGGAGTAATCAAAAAAGATAGCAGAAATGCAATGCTGATTACCTATTTTAATTATATAAAAACTTCAAGAATAAAGGTATCGGCAGACATGATTAAAAAACAAACAATGGACATTTGCTGGTCACACACTGATGACCCTGGTTAGGAATCCTCACCCTTTTATTTCCCATGATCCTCCTAGCAACAAGTTATTTTGAGATATTCTCCCAGAGTGCTTTGTGCTAATAACAACAGACAAATAAAATGACAAAGAAAATGGCATGACGACTTAAGTGATTTTGGCATTAAAACAGAATCGTTTCCAAATGACAGAAGACTCATATTTAGCAGAATACCTCAGACATGATGGGAGCTGACTTGCTACACCTGCCTCTTCCCCAGAAACTTTCTGGTGAGCTCTCAGGTAGGTTGGGACCCACAAGTTTATCAACTGAGAATCCTTATTTTTTATTTTAAAATTTAGCAAATAGATTTGTTAAGCTGGAGAACAGTAGGCATAATTCTGCGGTCTGATCATAGGTCTTTAACTTATACCAACTCCCCCAAGATCACATGGGGAGTCATTTAACCTCTTTCTTCTTCAGTTTCCCTTATCTATAAAATATGAACAATAACCTTGTGAGGTAAATGTCTTAAGAATTAATTTAGCAGACTGCAAAACACTTTGAAGATGAAAAGTAAAATTTGAAGTATTAATATTAGAGCTTCTGGCTTGCTGCATAATTTTTCTGATGTTAAGTTTTTATTTGTTAGACAATTTATAGATCCTCCCCGCCTTTATGGGGTAAATACTTGTTTTTAAACTGGTGTTTTAAAATTGTTTTCCTTGACTTGTATCAAAAGCACAGCTCTTTAATGACAGTAGAATGTAATTAGTTATGCAGTGTATTTGTTAGCTAACTTTTTTAGCTGATTTAGTATCATTTACACAATTTAGTCAGTGAGAGGCCAAAAGGTTTGTCAGTGTGGCAAGAGACCAGTCACGTATCAATGAAAGACAGGATATTGTTGAATTACACAGACTTATTTAATACTTTCATTCTGGAATGAAACTGATTCCAGATTAACCACTTATATCTAGCAGCTCACCAACAAAGTCTGCCGTGCACTGGACAGAACCAGTGTCTAATGCTTGAAAAAATGATAGACCACTTGCTTAAGTACCAAAATATTTAAACAAGTAATTTAGAAAATTCTTTCAGATATTTATTTCTCTCTTTTTCTCTCCAGAGTAACAAACTGTAGCAACTTTAAATTAAGTGGAAAGCTAACACTGAAAACATACATCAGCACATATTAATGTTTGTGTTTAAATGTAATTAAGTAAAATATTAAAATGTTAAACATAAATTTGCTGTGAACAACTGTTCTTCACTGGTGAGTGGCTACAAGTTGAAACCTCTTTCTCCTTTCTGTCCTAGTCTCTTCACTTCAATGCAATTTGAGTTAATAAAAACCAAAGGGAAATTGACAGATTCATCAACTCCTAACTGGTTAAACTTACAAATACAGGGCTAGAAGTGATTAATTGATCTCTTTGCCAGTTGAGACATAAATCCCCCCAGAACGCTAAAGTTCCCAGATTGTACCTGTAGCTAAGCTTATATGTAACCTTGTGTTATTACTGTCACTCTTACCTTCTCTCTCTTCTCTGTTGTATTTTAAGCCCTTATCCCGAGGCATCATTCAAAATGATTTAGAATTTAAGCTTTCTGGGGTAGAACTGTATTTTATACTTGTACAGAGCCCATCACAATAAGGCTCAAATCCTGGCATCTCGAGGTATTGCGGCTTCTAATTATGCACATTTTATTTGGAAACTGTAGACGATTTTGAGAAGTAGCATGTGTCAACATGTTCCTATAATTGGGGGTCAAATTGGGAAATAAAAATGGGATTCCCAAGGTCTGCCCACAAATGAAGTTTTATTTTGGTGTCTCAGGTGGCGCTACATTCACAGCAGATTTTCATAATGTGATTGTCTATTTTTTTTCTTACATGCTTTGACCACCAAACAAACAGTTATCAATTTTGATGTTTAATTCGTCATTATTTTGCTTCATAGTAAACTATGCCTTTAAATGATTTGGGCTAATTCACAACCCTCTCGCAACTATTGTTTCAGGCTGGCTGTAGATTGATGCACATATCATTATTTTGGTTTACATACTGTTTTGCATTAGTTTGTGGCTAGTAGATGTCTGACATTTTCAAACATGAGAAGTCAGAACAGAGAAATACTGTAGGAAGATTCTGCAGGGAGAAGCAGAAGAAAAGTGGTGAAAGAAAAATACTGACGAGGAGGTAAAGAACACAGTATAGATAAGGGAGAGAGACCATTGCGGAGGAAAAAAAGTAAACAATAAAGATAACTCAAGATTAGAGACAGTATGATCTATTATAATAAGAAAAAGCGAAGTTTAACCAGGAAGGGAAATAAAACAGGAATCAAAACAAGTGTGATGAAAAAAGTAGGCTTGCTGAACAATACTTGGAGATTACATTACAGTAACTCCTTGCTTAACGGTGTAGTTATGTTCCTGAAAAATGCGACTTTAAGTGAAACAATGTTAAGCGAATCCAGTTTCCCCATAAGAATTAATGTAAATGGGGAGGGGGGTATTAGGTTCCAGGGAAGTTTTTTTCCCCACCAGACAAAAAACTATAATGTATAAACACACACACAGTATACATTTTGAACAAACAATTTAATACTGTATACAGCAATGATGATTGTGAAGCTTGGTTGAGGTGGTGAAGGAGGAGGGTGGGATATTTCCCAGGGAATGCCTTACTGCTAAATGATGAACTAGCATTCGGCTCAGCCCTCAAGGGTTAACGTTGCCTCACACTCTACAAGGCAGCACAAATGGAGGGAGGGGAGACAGCCTGGCAGACAGAGAGACACACCCTGTGTGTCGGGGAGAGAGAGAGAGAGATGTGCATTGCCCTTTTAAGTATGCTGACACCACACTCTAAGTACATTGCCTTTAAAAAGATCAGGAAATTGAGATAGCAGCTGCGGCCACCTCTCTCTGTCCTGAGCCCTGTTGTGTCTCCCCCCTGCTCTATATGGAGAAGGGGTAAGCGGAAGGGGAGGGGAGACAGAAGTTGGGAGGGGAACACCCTGACATTAGTCCCCTTCTTCCCCCCTCCCCTGTACAGCAAGCAGGAGGCTCCCGGGAGCATCTCCAAGGCAGAGGGCAGGAGCAGCACTTGGGGGGGGGGAGGGGGGAGGGAAGAGGAGGGGGACAACTGAACTGCCGGCAATTGGTAGCCTGCTGGGCAGCTGCTGCACAGGGACTCTAGGGGAGAGGAGAGCCGATGGGGGGCTGTCGCAGTAGCGTAGCTAAGGGGGGGAGCGGCCGCTCCCCCACTGAGCACAAGTGGCGCCTTGTCAATTTCCTGGAGCCTTTGTACTCACCCGGGGGAGTGATAAAGAAAAAAGACGGCACCCGCTGCAGCGCTTTGTTTTTACTCACCCGGCGGCGCTCCGGGTCTTTGGCAGCATTTCGGCAGCGGGACCTTCAGTGCCGCCGAAGACCCTGGAGCGAGTGAAGGGCCCGCCGCCGAAGACCCAGAGTGCCACCGGGTGAGTAAAAGCACCGCAGCTGGTGGCGCCTTTTTTTTTTATTGCTCCCCGTTCCCTCCACCTGGCTACGCCACTGGGCTGCCGGTCCACCCTGGTTCCAAGCCCCCACCAGCTAGTTGCAACGGGCTGCTCTTCCTGCAAGCAGTGGACAAAGCAGGCGGCTGCCAAACAACGTTATAAGGGAGCATTGCGCAACTTTAAACGAGCATGTTCCCTAATGGATCAGCAACGTAACAACGATACAACATTAACCGGGACGACTTTAAGTGAGGAGTTACTGTACTGTATTTGCATTTCACTGGTATTTGCCAAATAATTTATTTGACAAATATACTGTGTGTCAAACTACTCTTGCAAATATAGTCTTTGAAAAATACTAGTGAAACTTGCCAAATATAACAGAGGGTCCTGTGGCACCTTTAAGACTAACAGAAGTATTGGAGCATAAGCTTTCGTGGGTGAACGCCCACTTCATCAGACACAAGTAATGGAAATTTCCAGAGGCAGGTATAAATCAGTATGGAGATAACGAGGTTAGTTCAATCAGGGAGGGTGAGGTGCTCTGCTAGCAGTTGAGGTGTCAACACCAAGGGAGGAGAAACTGCTTCTGTAGTTGGATAGCCATTCACAGTCTTTGTTTAATCCTGATCTGATGGTGTCAAATTTGCAAATGAACTGGAGCTCAGCAGTTTCTCTTTGGAGTCTGGTCCTGAAATTTTTTTGTTGTAAGATGGCTACCTTTACATCTGCTATTGTGTAGCCAGGGAGGTTGAAGTGTTCTCCTACAGGTTTTTGTATATTGCCATTCCTGATATCTGACTTGTGTCTATTTATCCTCTTGCGTAGTGACTGTCCAGTTTGGCCAATGTACATAGCAGAGGGGCATTGCTGGCACATGATGGCATATATAACATTGGTGGACGTGCAGGTGAATGAGCCGGTGATGATGTAGCTGATCTGGTTAGGTCCTGTGATGGTGTTGCTGGTGTAGATATGTGGGCAGAGTTGGCATCGAGGTTTGTTGCATGGGTTGGTTCCTGAGTTAGAGTTGTTATGGTGCGGTGCGTGCTTGCTGGTGAGAATATGCTTAAGGTTGGCGGGTTGTCTGTGGGCGAGGACTGGCCTGCCTCCCAAGGTCTGTGAAAGCGAGGGATCATTGTCCAGGATGGGTTGTAGATCACTGATGATGCGTTGGAGAGGTTTAAGCTGAGGACTGTAGGTGATGGCCAGTGGAGTTCTGTTGGTTTCTTTTTTTGAGCCTGTCTTGTAGCAGAAGGCTTCTGGGTACACATCTGGCTCTGTTGATTTTGTTTCTTTATTTCCTTGTGTGGGTATCATAGTTTTGAGAATGCTTGGTGAAGATCTTGTAGGTGTTGGAGCAGATGCGGTTCTACCTCAGCGCTTGGCTGTAGACGATGGATCGTGTGGTGTGTCCGGGGTGGAAGCTGGAGGCATGAAGGTAGGCGTAGCGGTCGGTGGGTTTTCGGTATAGGGTGGTGTTAACGTGGCCATCGCTTATTTGTACTGTGGTGTCTAGGAAGTGGACCTCCCGTGTAGATTGGTCCAGGCTGAGGTTGATGGTGGGGTGGAAGCTGTTGAAATCATGGTGGAATTCTTCCAGGGTCTTCTTCCCATGAGTCCAGATGATGATGATGTGCCAACTCTGCCCACATATCTACACCAGCAACACCATCACAGGACCTAACCAGATCAGCTACATCATCACCGGCTCATTCACCTGCACGTCCACCAATGTTATATATGCCATCATGTGCCAACAATGCCCCTCTGCTATGTACATTGGCCAAACTGGACAGTCACTACGCAAGAGGATAAATGGACACAAGTCAGATATCAGGAATGGCAATATACAAAAACCTGTAGGAGAACACTTCAACCTCCCTGGCTACACAATAGCAGATGTAAAGGTAGCCATCTTACAACAAAAAAATTTCAGGACCAGACTCCAAAGAGAAACTGCTGAGCTCCAGTTCATTTGCAAATTTGACACCATCAGATCAGGATTAAACAAAGACTGTGAATGGCTATCCAACTACAGAAGCAGTTTCTCCTCCCTTGGTGTTGACACCTCAACTGCTAGCAGAGCACCTCACCCTCCCTGATTGAACTAACCTCGTTATCTCCATACTGATTTATACCTGCCTCTGGAAATTTCCATTACTTGCATCTGATGAAGTGGGCATTCACCCACGAAAGCTTATGCTCCAATACTTCTGTTAGTCTTAAAGGTGCCACAGGACCCTCTGTTGCTTTTTACAGATTCAGACTAACACGGCTACCCCTCTGATACTTGCCAAATATAGTGTTTAAATATCTTTTTCTACCATTTTATTCCTTCCAAAATGTGTTAGCATTAAATGTAATAATTCTGGATATTCTTGTTATCCATATAAATGCCCAAGTCATAGAATCATAGAAGATTAGGGGTGAAAGAGACCTCAGGAGGTCATCTAGTCCAACCCCCTGCTCAAAGCGGGACCAACCCCAACTAAATCATCCCAGCCAGGGCTTTGTCAAGCCAGGCCTTAAAAATCATTAAGGATAGAGATGCCACCACCTCCCTCGGTAATCCATTCCAGTGCTTCACCACCCTTCTAGTGAAATAGTTTTTCTTAATATCCAACCTAGACCTCCCACACTGCAACTTGAGACCATTTCTCCTTGTTCTGTTCTCTGCCACCACTGAGAACAGCCTAGCTCCATCCTCTTTGGAACCCCCCTTCAGGAAGTTGAAGGCTGCTATCAAATCCCCCCTCACTCTTCTCTTCTGCAGACTAATAAGCCCAATTCCCTCAGCCTCTCCTCATAAGTCATGTGTCCCAGCCCCCTAATTATTTCCCTTGCTCTCCGCTGGACTCTCTCCAATTTGTCCACATCCTTTCTGTAGAGGGGGGCCCAAATCTGGACGCAGTACTCCAGATGTGGCCTCACCAGTGCCGAATAGAGGGGAATAATCACTTCCCTCAATCTGCTGGCAATGCTCCTACTAATGCAGCCCAATATGCCGTTAGCATTCTTGGCAACAAGGGCACACTGCTGACTCATATCCAGCTTCTCGTCCACTGTAATCCCCAGGTCCTTTTTTGCAGAACTTCTGCTTAGCCAATCGGTCCCCAGCCTGCAGCAGCGCATAGGATAGTTCCGTCTTAAGTGCAGGACCCTGCACTTGTCCGTGTTGAACCGCATCAGATTTCTTTTGGTCCAATCCTCCAATTTGTCTAGGTCACTCTGGACCCTATCCCTACCCACAAGCATATCTACCTCTCCCCGCAGTTTAGTGTCATACTCGAACTTGCTGAGGGTGCAATCCATCCCATCATCCAGATCATTAATGAAGATGCTGAACAAAACTGGCCCCAGGACCGACCCTTGGGGCACTCCGCTTGATACCTGCTGCCAACTTAGACATCGAGCCGTTGATCACTACCTGTTGAGCATGATGATCTAGCCAGCTTTCTATCCACATTATAGTCCATTCATCCAATGCATACTTTTTAAACTCTTTGAATCTCTCTAAGATCTGGCCTCAACAACATCTTGTGGCAATGAGTATTACTGTCTTATTACATGCTGAATGAAAAAGCATTTACTTTTAGCATTTTTTTAATTTAGTACTTTTTAGTTTAATTTAATGTCCTCTTATTCTTGTGTTAAGAGACAGAGGGCAGAAGCTCCCAATCTACTTTCTCTATGCCATTTCTTATTATACGTTACACAAAAAAAACTATGTTAAAAGAACATCAGCGTTACAAAGTCAAGGTCTCTTGAAAGTGTATATAAATAAGAAAGTTGACTGACAATCTATTACAATTAAACAAAGGACAAAAACAACTTTTATTTCTTTTAAGTTACAGGGGGTATGGTAGCGTAAGTATTTTTCACATGCTTAGTACGTTTCATTCCTTGGACTCATAGGTTTGGGTTAAGTTTTCAAACCGATTATTATTTATTATTAGTGTTCCTTAACGGGCTCTAGCTAGTGTTATAGCGTAACTAAGTTACAGGAGAATAAATTTCTGAAAATGTTTGAAAAAAATATTTAAAACTGTAACAGACACAAAAAGGGTTCACATGTAGTTCATTTAAAAACAACTGCTCGATATCAGCATATATCATACATAATTAGAAAATGATTCAAATACCTCAACTTTTACTAAAAAGATTCCCTCCCCTTTTATAAAGTTAGTTTAAAAAAAAAAAAACGGTGTGTGTGTGATAAGCAACTTCAATGAAGTCTTAATGGTTAAAAAAATATTGGGCTTGTCTGGAGAACACCTGCTTGACCAACTTTTTGCCATATACTGCTATACATTTTGATGACTGAGTAGATTGATGAGATCCTCCTCACTATTTTAATGAGCAGTTTAATTCAGCTGATTATCCAGTAAGTAGCAGCATTTTGTTAGACTCCCTCACATCCTTCGTTTTCAATATCGCCTCGTTCTCAGTAGCTTAAAGGACTAGGAGTTTCAGCATGATCTGGGAGGACAAGGAACGCTAAGAAAAGGGATCTGAAGAAGAGTCTGGTCAGGGCTGGTGCAACAGGCAAAGTATATGATTTTGGGAGCAGTGTTTTGGATGGATTGATGGACAATAAGGCTAGAGTTAGGCAAGTAGGGATAGCTCAGTTGAGTTGATAAAGCCTTGGACAAGAATCAACAATGGGAATAGCAAAGAATAATAGACTTTTTTGAGCAGTTGAGAAAAAACAGGATTCAACAGTTACTGTAAGTGGAAAGGGGGGGAGAAGTGGAGAGAATGATTGAAAGAGGACACCAAAATTAAGAACATAATTGAATATCAAACTTATACATTAATACAACAATACTTGCCTTTTAAAAAAAGTTACTTTCCATTTTCTTGCTAAATGATGATCCAGTTCACAGAGAAACACACTAAGTTTCTTAAAGTTCAGCATCAATTATTGTTTGCACACAACGAATGAAGTTTCTTTTTACAGACTTTGTGAAATCTGCTCTTTTTGTAAATTTGTATACTTTTACACACTTATGTTAGAAAAATGATACTAAGATAGTCAGCGCCAGAGGGATAAGGATGATGGTGGAGTTGCTAATGGGAATAGAAAAGGGCAGGTTTAGGAGAAATTATTTTAATGTAGGTTAGTAATAGATCCGCCATGAAGAAAAAGCTAGAGAGAGCAGAGGCAGATCTACAAATGATCAGCAAAGAAGAGATAATTGTAATCATGTGATTAGATTATGTCTTCCCAGCAAAAGACAAAAAAAGAGAGAGAGAGGTGACAAGTTCTAAGGGAGAGAGAAGCTGTCAAAGGAGTGGTCAGAGAAGTCTCTAAAGCCTGGTGGTGGGAAGTTGGCATAAAATCTCAAGAAGAAAGGGGTGACCCCAAAAGATAAACAACACAGAATAATCTGTTAGTGAAAACCAAATCTCTTCTTTTTAATCAATTTTTTACTGGGAAACATAACCCCCTCTCACTTCCTGCAAAAAAATCTCTGTAGAATGTGTATTTTAGTTTTACACAGCAAATGTTACCAACAGTAGCTTCTGTATGAAGAGTTCTTTGATGCCAAAGTAGTAGTTTTATTAAAATGTCAGCTTCCTATTGTCACCAACTCAACAATTACTCCTTAAATCTTTTTGTCAAATACAAAGAATGTGCAAAACCAGATGCAAACATCCAACCAGATGAACTATAATTTTAGTTTCTTACTCACCCCTCCTGTGATCAATGTATTATTACTGAGACAGAAGGTGGCCCTTGTTGGAGTAATATTAGTTAAAGCTGTTTAGAGAAGGCCACTTAAGTAAATTTAACTGTCATACAAAGTATTTTAAACAATAGTATTCCTTTTACCATAAGATAGGTTCATCCCAACCAGCTAAAATATAACTTGCACTGTCTAGAGCTTTAAATTGTATTAGTTATAACTTTTAAGTTCAAATATTTTAAAAAACACAGCTTTATCTTAGTCTAGACAAGGCTTTATTTTATCTATTTTGACACTGCATGCTTTAATTTAATGTGTGTATTGTGAAATGGAGTAGGTTCTCCATACCCTTAAAGAACGAACCTACAGAGAAATTTTTGTAGGACTCTTTTGTTGGAAAAATTGTCTTAAATTACAAAACCCTAAGACTTTTTTTATTAAAGCATTAGTTAGGAATATGGTAACAACCCACATACAAATACTTCCTAACCCTGACAGGACAATCAGAATAAGTTTCAGCTTTAAAAACTACTGAAGAAAATCCCTGAAAGACTAACTACATATTTTAGCATGAATGGACATACCTTCCTAACATCTGAACTTTTCGGTTCTGTTGTCCAGGTGATGATCCGAGATACCGCCAGCCTAGTTTCACTTGAATTTACGAAATCCCCTGGGTCCATCTGCTGTGCAAGAGTCTCTATGTATTTAAGAATTGCAACTTTAACCTGCAAAGGTAAGCAGAGTCAGGTAAATAGATAAAAACAAAAGTGTGCTGTAAATGTGAGTGTACTCAAGAAACAGGGTTCTATTTATTTAGAACAAATAATCCAGAATGGCTAATATAATGGGACAAAATGAGATACCTTTTTAAAGTGAATTAAATATTGGCAATTTTATCAGAAGTCTTTTAGCTGATTTTAAAATCAATTACCTGGAGTCAATGTTTTTGTTTAATATTCATATAGTATCTATAATCTGTAAATGAGTCTACTGTACTAACAGACATCTTAATTCTCACTAACATTAAATAAAAAAACTAGCATACTGCATGTGCAACTATTTAGCCATTCACTTTCTATTTAGTTTGCTTATATTTGGCATAGGGAGCACCACCTGATGAATTGGAGAGGATACATACAGATGTAATTGGCTTCTTCCAGTAAACTGTACATAATTTGTACTCAGAATCCCCTGGCAGTCCCTTTAGCAGCAGAAATCTATGCTGAGTATTAAACATCTTTGTTAAGGGATAAATTTTGTAAAACATCTTCCTATTAAAAACAAACCATAAGGGGAATAGAGCTGTTACAATAAAGCAGTGCCAGTGAGTAAGCAATAATACACATGGCAATCAGTACACACACTTTTCTTTGAAGGAATTCATTACATTAATGAATGTCAGTGTGTTTATGAATAGACATAAATGAGACAAGGAAATGGGGTGGGTGATTATTTGGATGATCTGGTTTAACTCTTTAGCTGTTTCTGTCTCCATTAACTATGGTACTAGATCTGAGATTATGCACAATAAAATCGGAGAGATTTTTTTTTAAATGTGTTTGTGGCTTGCACTGATAACTGTTCTGAATAAACATGGATCATTTAAAAGCTTCCCTCAGTCATCCTAATATTTCAGATATATAAAAAATAAAGTGTGTCAATGCACTGAGTGACAAAGATGTTAGTGGCAGGCAATGAAACTAGATGTAATTTAACCATATTAATTCTTTCCCCCTCATGCTGGCTGTTAGGTCTTGCCTTCTCTGAAGTTACATGTAACCCAAGGATTGAAGCTCTTTGTGATGCATAAGTCAATGGAAAATACTGTTGAGAGCCTGGCAGCTAGAAGTTTCTCTTTTTGAGATCAAAATCTTAAAACTACTTATATTTTGCAAAATGTGTATTTCAAAACACATACTAAAAACAAAACTTCTTCTTTCTAAGTCAATCAAGTATAATTGTGCGCATATACTATTTTTCCTCCCCCACAAGGGCCCTTTTGTGTCATTTTTGTAACATCGCTGTGTCCATCTGCTAATGATATCTTAAATGTATATTGTGATATAGGAGGGCCAGGGAGCAGTGGTAGAGTGCTCGAGGGGAAATATATAAACCCAAGGCTAATTAAGGCGTGATTCCCTGGAGACTAGGGAGGATGGCTACAGATTAATTGGAGCACCTGCAGTCAATTAAGGCCCTGTCAGGAACCTAATAAAACCCCCTGCTTCAGGAAGTCAGAAGGAGGAGGAAGGAGAGAGGTCTGGAGCTTGGAGGTGTGCTGTGAGACTTGAAAGGTCAGAGAACCGAAGTAAGGGAGACCCTGCCCCAGCAGGGAATGGAGACTCCCTCCCCCAGCATCTAGGGACCGAAGGTACCCCACCCAAGGGGGAAGAGGGTAAGAACCCGCAGGGATTGAGAGGCGCTGGGGCTCAGAGTGAGAAGAAAACCCAGACCCCTCCCCCTCTTCCCTCCTTTACCACCTTCCCAGGCCACTAGCGGGGCCCTCGGTGCCCCAAAAGCAGGGGCAAGGGGTGGTATCTTAGCCCCCACCAAGAAAAGCGCAGGACCCACCATACTAACACTGGCCATCTTGTCACAACATATACCTTTACAACCAGATGCTGCAATCAGAAACCAATGATAACATGGTGCAAAAAGGCACCCAGCTATCTGTACACAAAAATTCCTAAGAACAAGATATAAGGTTTACTCAACAGTTAAAAATTGTGAAGAAAAGCATTCCCAATGGAAGTAGAGTCAAACTGTCTACAGACAGGGAGGAGTACTGAATAGCAGGTGAGTAGAAGTAGGAACCATCTAAAAGGCAGCTTGTGATCTCAGTTCCATTATGAACAATAAGAGATGGCAGTCATTTTGAAAAAGGTTAGTTCTTCATGTTTTTTTTTTTTGAAAGAGAACATTATTCTTCGGTGTCTGTGGAAACTTCTATGTTGAAGAACAAGAAAAGATGACCATTAGAGATAAGTTACTTACCTTGTACAGTAACTGGAGTGTTCGAGATGTCTGTCTCAATGGGTGCTCCACTTCAGCGAGGCATGCTCCCTACGAGCCTTTGACAGGGGACTTTTGGTACTGCCAATTCAGTCTGCACATGAGCCGTAGCTAACCTCGTGCCCTCTATTGAGGGTATATAGGGCAGTGTCAGACGAGCTACCATCAGTTCCGTCTCTACCACAAAGTCCCGCAAAAGCAAAGACTCCAAAGCAGAGGGGAAAGATGACGGTTAGTTGAGGACAAAAGACCAACATCTTGAACAACTCCAGTTACTGTATAAGGTAAGTAACTTTTTCTTTGAGTAATGTTCCTATGGGTGCTCCACTGATTTACTGATTGTATTTCAATTGTAATCTTGAGCTGTATAGGAAGTAAATTAGTTAGTGACATATCACTTATTTATATTTGTTTTCTTATTCTTGTAATAAATCTGTAACAGCATACTAGAATGGTTCCTCTCTCAAAACTTCAATGTGGGAAAACAACTTATTTAGAGGTAAAGGTAAATGCATTGAGTAGCTCCTGGTCATGTATTTTATTTATTTGATTAAAATCCTGTTCAAACTACTACATAAGCATGATGCATTTGCCAAAATGGTCCTACATGACTTATCACTGTCCCAGATCAGGTAATATTTGCTAAAAACCTTCACTTCTTCCTTCGAGACATGGATCTGGCCAGTATTTTTCATGTATCTGTCACCTTCAAACTGTATTCCTTTAATTCATTGTATGTGAAGCTGAATGTGAAAACAATGCAAAGATGCTAGCTGGTGCAAAACCTGGCTGTCTGCCTCCTACATGGACTAGGTCTGCAGAAGCACATCATTCCTGTTTTCTGGGTCCCCCACTGGCTCCCAGTCTACCTCTGAGGCCAGTTCAAGGCCCTGCTTCCAATTTTCAAAGCCATTAATGGGTCATGTCCCAGCTTCACTAGCAACCATATAGCTATCTATGAACCATGGAGACAGCTGTGCTCTTTTCGACAAAACACAGAACACAAAGTCCAGGACACAGTGTGTGTGAGCCAGAGTCAAGGCACTCTTGGCTGAGGGAGATATGTCTGTAAAACAATTTCCAGAAGAGATGAGCAATCCAGAATCTGATCACTATTAGGTCATGCTAAAAGACTTTCCTCTTTGATATAGTTATGCCATCATAACAAGAATGATATTTCCAACAAACTCCATTCCCTCTCACCAGTACATAACCATCCCTTCAGGAAGAGTTTCTGAAAACCACAGAAGGGGAAGAGCTGGACTTCATCAAGTTCAAAAGGAATCTTGCTATGCCAATCCAATTAACCCTGGGAAGTACTATGGGGATGGGTACCAGTACAAAATACTAACACAGGTAGGTAGAGTCCTTAACACTACTACTATATTACATTTTTGATTACTTCTAATAAATATATTCTCTGGTTCTTCAGTGATAGTAGTAAGCTTTAGGAAGAAGTTGAGGGGTAGGGAATGGGGTATGATAAATTCTTGGATTTCTGAAGACAAGATTATTGCCTGTTAACTGCAAACTTTACAAAAAAGGTAATATTTAAAATATTCTTTAAAAATCTGTTTGAAACTACACATATTGAGACAATAATTTGAAGCCACAGCTCTAAGAAAGAGATGGCTTCTCTAGCCAACTTCTATTACAGAAATCTTATATTTCTCTAACATTGATGAATCTTTATGATAACTGCTCAGTATCTGTTCCATAAATCCATTTTTTTTTTTAAACTTTCTTCTCTGTCATCAGGAGGATGGTCTTGGCCTTGGCTTCCTCGGTCTTAAGGTCTGGCTCCAATCTTTAAGGAATTCCACTCTTTGGACCTCATCCTCATACCAGAAGTCCATGCTTTCTTTCAAATCTACAGTATGAGCTTCACCAAAGGGAGCATATCATGCTTTAGTAATTACATCAGAATTCTATGGAGAAAGTAACTCACAGCAATCAACGCATTAATCTTCCTGCAATAAACCTCTGTCTTAAGGACATGTTGCAGAACAAATTGTGTGATTTCATTACTACTTCATTTGTTTTCTTTAACAACTCTGATCACATCATGAGATAGTAGCCACTATTTAATACACCAGCACAAATAATAGTAGTCAAAGTATAAACTGTCCTCAGAGTGAGTAATATTATACATTTTACTGTGCTGCAAACAAAAAGAAAAAAACAAAACAAAAAAATGAGGTATTTGCATGTGACTTCAGCCCCACTGTGTACAGGAAAAAAAGTGTAATCTTGTGCATTGTTACGTTGCATAACATTCCAAATTGTGTAAAAAATTTTCGTGCAGGATAGAGCAGAAAATTCCAGTTTTGTATATGCTTGTTATTTCCCCAATTTGCCTTATTTGTAAATCTTATTAGGATTTACAGCATTTATACCAAAGCCAACCTCTTCTCTAATTGTACATGTCCTAGAGAAATCAGTTTTAATTTTATTTAATTTATTTATTTATTTATTTAATTAATTTTTATGTCAACATATTCTTAAGCTGTGAAAATGCGTGCATATATAATGCAACACATTACTTTTAGAAAAGCTTAACAAATAAAATAATGCACTAAACATAAAAGTAATATGTTTTTGAATGAAAATTTAGGGTACATGTGTTAATATTAACATTATTTAAATTTTAAATATGCCCATAACCTACAAGATGAAAGTAGTTTAGGGAAAAACCTTCATTGTCAGAACTACATACAGAAAAGAAGATTGGGAAATCACAAACATAAAATGAGAAAAGACTTGATAGAGTGAGTTTGCATAACCAGCTTGGTGTTAGGCGGCCATATTTTTGTTGCTTCTGTATTCATTGGTGTGTGGTCTTATCAGGTCTGTTTTTGCAAAAAATGCTCTGACACTAGTATATCACTTGAAGTTGAATATCTGCATGCTTAAAGTTTCTTGCAAAGGTTAGTAGCCATAGACGGATGCATACAAATAAAAATTATCAAACATTGTAAAGTTTTTACATAGGGTTAAAAAAGGCAATAATGCAGACAAAAAACCTTGGAGCTCCAAAAAGAGCGAAGCTGGTCCTGCAGCGCTGGCTTGACTGTCTGAAAGTTTATAAAAACAAAATCCACCAAGTGAAAACCTTTTTTTGCAATACAAATCCAAATAGTAAGAGAGAGCAAATTTCTATCAACAAATATTTCATTTGCAATTTAGACTTGTAAATTTTTACCTTCAAGCTGGGCGTCTGGGTCTGGTCAACAGTGAATCTCATTAAAATACTGAATTGGAGATCATTTGGAAAAGATTCCCTGAAAAATAAAGAAAATCAGGCAAAACACATTACTTGCATAGGGCATGCATTTAATAACTGTATAGGTGCTCGCTCTAATTTAAAGGCTCTCTCTATAAACTAATCAAAAATTCGTCTACCTTTCAAACTACAATATATGCCTACTTGTTTTAATCTCTGGGTAGATATGCTATATCATACTTTCAGAAACATCCAGCTAATGTAGAAAGAACATATATCAAACGATCTTACTACTTTCAAGCAATTATATGTGCTAACATGTAAGACAAACACTCTCTCAACAGTAAAAAGAACGAGGAGTACTTGTGGCACCTTAGAGACTAACACATTTATGTAAGCATAAGCTTTCGTGGGCTAAAACCCACTTCATCGGATGCATACAGTGGAACTGCATGCATCCGATGAAGTGGGTTTTAGCCCATGAAAGTTTATGCTTAAATAAATGTGTTAGTCTCTAAGGTGCCACAAGTACTCCTCGTTCTTTTTGCTGATACAGACTAACACCGCTACCACTCTGAAATCTCTCAACGGTATGTGACTTATTAAATCCAATCCTGCTAGGATGTGCATTTCATAATCTAGAAAACTGATTCTGTATTCATCTTTCAATGTTAAGCATTCTAAATAGCAGGGATGATTTGAATTCCTTAAATTAGGTGGTATTTAGAAAACCACTACTATTACATTTGTTACATTTTAAAGCCATCCACAGGTTCTGTTTTGGGAACAATATCCTTACAGTACAGTGAGAGAGAAACGTGGGAATATACTCTGGTGCCAATCAAAATTGCACACACATTTTTGTCAGCAATGTATTACCTTGTGACATCAAGTGCCTTTTGAACTTTTGCTTGCACAGACCCAAGCAAATCAGCACCCATTTTCTTCAACAGCTGTGTCAACAACACAAACAGCCAATCCTGTAGATCTTCTTTATGGACCTGGATGAAGTCGACCAAGGTCTCCAAAAACATGCTGAACACCTAAAGGAGGCAGAGAAGGGAAAAAGAGAGAGGGGTGGGGGGGAAGAAAAGGAAACGACATTGACCTGTGTTGAACTCACAAATGATGAAGAAAGCAGTAGGGGAATCAAAGGCAGACAGAGGCAGTGATTTGCAGCCAAGCAGGAAAACAATCTGTCTTGCTTTTCATTGGTCTCCGTGATACAAGAGAATATTGCTATTCAACTTCAGCTGAAGTTTGACAATTAGCTATTCCATGCAGTATCATTGGGTAAAGAAATGTTTACTGTGATGGCTGGCACAACTTTATTTATTTTTTAAATTTAAACTTCTTTCCACTTCAAGCTTTATGTAATTAAGTCAGTTCTACGTAGACAATAAAATTGGCTTATCTTTTTAAAAAAAGCAAAGAGGCCACAGAAAGCTTAATTAAAATATGAGCTGTGGAGATCTGCATCAAGAGAATGCTTGTTCCTTTCCATAGACGATTTGGAGAATGGAACAGGCTTCTCTGTTCTTGCAGCATTCTGAAACAAATTATTCAGAGGAAAAGTCCTCCTAGCAGAGGAAAAACTACAGTACATTTCTGATTATGATGTCCTTTGGAAATATATGGAATATTAATCTTTCTAAAAACATATTAGCTACTATTTATGACATTTTGGAAGAGTGGTGTTGGGAAGCAAATATTCAGGAAAATGATCTATAAGTACATTTATGCTGCATAGCGCCTCCCACTCCCCCGGCAGTGATTCTCAGAGCCCAGGCCAACTGACTTGGGCTCGTGGGGCTCCCTCTCTGAGCCTAAAAATAGCAGCATAGACGTTCCTGCTTGGGCTGGAGTCTGGTCTCTGAAACTCAGCCAGGATCTCAGAGCCTGGGCTCCAGACCGAGTGGGAACATCTACACTATTTTTAGCCCCATTAGCCCAAGACCTTATGAGCCTTAAGTCAGTTGACCCGGGCTCAGAAATATTGCTGCTGCATTTTTTTTTCCAGTGTAGATGTACCCTATGTGAACTTGTATATTGCAAACTGTGCCAAATGTGTAAGTGTGAATGACAATTATTTATTTATTTATTTATTTATTTATTTTACAAATTTCAAAACTTATAGTACAACCTTAAGATCAAGAAATATTTTAGGGTTTGGGTTGTTTTTTTTTTTTTTTTTTAAGTGTATGTATATATAAAATTTACCGCTAGGTGGCATTTTTTTTTCTTTTTAGGACCTTTCACTAACTTTTGGATTTACATGTGCTTATGCGGGAGTGGAACATACATGTTCTAGATATACAATTTCAAAGGTATGTATTCTGCCAGAATTCCAGCCTAATCTAGGCCATAACACACACTGCTGCGTAAGTGCACGCATGAGAGAGTTCACTATAATTACTTTTTAACACCGATGTCATACGGTCATTAAGATAAATATACCCAACGCATTAAAGGTGCAAATCCATATGCTTAGTTTACAAGTGTCCGTTATTAGGTATTTAGGGCTGGCACTTGATTAATAGGCACTGGATGTCAAATAATACATTCAAATTCTCCCAGGATCCTACAGACACCAAACAGTATAATCTTCAGGGCTACTTTAAATATTTTACATCTTCCTGTCCCAAATAGGTAAAAAGTTCCTCAAGAGAAAACATTTTCTTTCCACTCTAAAATGAAATACTGTAGGGTATATTCTCCTCCCTTCCATCTATTGTCTTTGATGTTTCTCTCGCTGGGTGAAGGCTGAACATTACTCCAGTGCTGCTCCTGGTTGAGGTGGGGGGGTTACTCAAGAACCACATTAGAGGTCTCCACAACCAGCATGCCTACCCACTGATAATTCAAGGGCACAGAAAACAAGGGGGGGGGGGGAAAAAAGCTATCAAGCTCAGGACTTTAACTCCGATTCCACATAAGCAATAGCACACAGATTGCTGTGTAGGCCATTTTAAATGTGTTGTGCAGAATTATTATATCTGTACATACAAATCTCCAAACAGTAGCACTGGAAAGTCAAATGATCAAATTATGTCAATTACTCTGCCTGAGTTACATATAACTGTAAGCGAACTGGACTTGTAACAGGGCTTTCCAAGTGCCTTTTCTTTCTCCCAAGAAACTCCATTAGGTTTGGCTGAGATATCAACTGTTAAAATATCACTATTTCCCTGCTGTCACTTGCATTCTTCAGGAATATTTTGGCAATATGTCAAAATAACAGAACAGGAGCATTCAAAAGAGCTGGACCCATGCTGCCACCACAGCAGCACACACATCCCTGGGAATACCTGGGAGCTGTCAAAATAGCTGTAGTGGGAAAAAGGGTGGGAAGAGGGCCAAGCTGGTCTCCCCCAGGCCCAACACAGAGCTCCAGTTGCCCATCTTTACCTTTTTCCTCTTTAAACACAAAACAACAACAAACCTAGAAAATTACCTTTAAAAAAATTATTTTAAAGAGTGTTACTTTAATTGCAAAGTTGAGCACTCAAAAGTTAGGAAATGTCATATTTAACATCACCTGGGGAATTCTGCTCCCTGTACATATACATTATAGTACAGGGTAAAATTGTAATTAATTTGAAATTTTGAACATCCATAGGACTTAAGTTTCTACATGGACTTATAAAAACTCTAGAAAATGGGACTTGGGTGCTTTTGAACATTTTATCCACAGTCCTTAATTACATGATCTCATTTTTTTTTTTTTTTTTTTTTTGCAGGACTCCTGCCTCAGTGCACAGGATGGATGCCCAAGGAGGGCAATTTAAGGGTTTATGGTTAATCTTGCATCAGACATTTCCTAACTTTTGAGCGTTTAACTTTGGAATCTAAATAACACCCTTAAAGTAGCTTTTCTGTTTGTAAATAAATAAATAAATAAATAAATAAATAAATAAATAAATAAATAAATATAGGGGATGTGCAACATGGCTGAATTAAAATTGCTCTCACAGCTGTAATTTTTGGAACTACCTGATTTCTGAATGTTTGTTTCTCAAACTTAACTGTATGTTAACACCACCTTTTTATTGTTTTGCATTGTATAAGCCAAATTAATTAGTCTACACCAGCTTCCACTGGTCTCAGAAAACGGTTGAACAGCAAGGAATCCACAACTTTTTTTTTTTGCTAGGGCAAACACAGCCAACCCCCAAAACGTGTGTTGAAGTTGCAGACCAGGCATTAAACACGGTGATTTGGGCATGTATTGATTTGGTGCATTCCCACTACAGCCAGGGGACTAATAAGGAGCACAGCACAGATTAAAATTATTGTTCCCTAAAGGAGGGAGTGCCTTTCCTCATTGCCACACGAAACTGCTGAGGTTAAGAATTTAGCAAGATTGAAAAAAGGAACAGCTACTGGACATTGCTACAGATGGCAAGATATCTGGAGTGGTCGTAGTTAATCATAAATTATAGAAGGGATATTAAATATCATTTTTCAGGGCCTGAGCCAGTATCTAACTATAGAAAAGGATGAGACCTAATGTTGGAGAAAGATTACCACACATCTGCTCACTGCAAGGTTCTTTTATCTTCCTCTGAAGCCCACTGATCATCCTCATAGAAAGGTTACTGGACTAGATGGACCTCAGGTCTAATGCAGTATGGCAATTCTTATGTCCTTTCCAAGGGGATGAATTTTCTTCTTGCTGTTATGGCCCTTCATGATGAAGGGAGGTGAAATTTGCCTCTTCTTTTACCAATGGAGAATTGATCTAGCCCAATTTATTAAATGTGAGGGAAGGGGAAAACTCTGCTACTGTCATGCTTGAGAATTAAATGTACAAAAGAAGGACTTTATGAAGTGATGGTTTCCACAACAACTATAAATCTGACACCAGCACATATTTAATATTTTGTACTGCTGTGTACACATCTATACCATTATATACATGCAGTGTGATAGAGTTAGAATTGCTGGGAAAATTACAGCTGTCAATTTCTTGGCTTTTGTACATTTTCAATTCTCAACCATGATGTTACATTAAGTGTTGTGTCTGAGTTTCCTTCCTTTAAAAAAAAAAAATAAATAAAAAAGCTTGGTTGGGGGGAAAAACTCAAAGAAAAACGTGACTGATCTTTGTGAAGGAAGATCCATGGCATACAGTGCACGTGAATTTTCGAGTTCAGTTATTCTGAAGTTGGAGAAATAATGTAAAGATCGTCACAAAATTATTTGCTGTCCTACTACTTGTAAGTACATATGTACACACACAATTAAGTTTAAAATCAAGCACATTGTTACACCAAATGTATTTTCGTAAGGACAAGATGCATATTTCAGTTTGTTGGACGTCATAGAAAAGTAAGAAATTCATTTTATAAGGGACTACTGGAAAAACGTCAACATTACTGTTTTATTGGTAGATACCTCTTTTGTACCAGTCAGCAAATGAATTAATTGAAAATCTAAATTTGCATACTATAATACTGTCACAGGGTACGCTGGCTCTTTAAGAAGATTCTGACTCAGCCCCAACTGTGCTAGGCTTAGGTTACCTCCCCTAAGAGCAGGGCCGGCTCCAGGCACCAGCTCAGCAAGCAGGTGCTTGGGGTGGTCAAGGGGAAGGGGCGGCACGTCGGGCTCTTCAGCGGCACTTTGGCGGCGGGTCCCTTAGTTCCTCTCGGAGGGAAGGACTGGCCGCCGAATTGCCGCTGAAAAAGAAAGCGGCGCGGTGGAGCCCCCGCCGCCCCCCCCCCCCCCCCCCCCCGCCACTTGGGGCGGCAAAAACCCTGGAGCTGGCCCTGCTAAGAGAAAGACATAAAGGGTCACTAGGTTTTCTGGGGAATATCAGGGCAGCCTGAATTCAGTCAGAGAGTATGGAAAAAAAAGCTTGCTGGAGAGGTGACAACTCTTCAGAGCTCCCAGGCAAAAGGCCTGAAAGAGAGAACTGCAAGAACAGTACCAACTTGTTGAGGGACAAGCGTCAGCTAAGGGACCTGCAGGGAGAAAGGTATGTAAAGGTCTGTTAGGAAGGGGAAGCCCTGATAAAGGACAGGAAGAACTTTTAGCCAAGATGGAGGGTTATGTGGATGTCAAAGACCATTATAAACTGAATGGACTAAATGAATCCATGAAAGAGGGCTGGAAGGTTGTGTGTATTATTTTATGGTACTAAGCCACACCCAGAAGAGGAAGCAGTATTCTGAAAACATGAGATACGGTGTTTTGTTTGGCACATGACAGAAGGGAAAACTGAGGCAGGTGGAGGGCCAAAGCCAGACTTCTCTAGTCAAAGGCTTTTAACTATGTCAAATTTCAAAGGCCTACAGCAAACAATGGAAGTGTTATGAGCTTCTTAACAAAAAGGTCACAAGAATCTATTATAATGAGAAGTTTAATGCAAATTAAATATAGCGATTGCTACCAGCTCTCCCTATATAATAGTATTTGTTAGTAACGATAATATTCTAATATTTACATTTAACAATGCAAGCAGGAATATGAAATACAACATATATATAGCACAGACAAATATTATGGGAAACCTTAACTTCTGAGTGCTTGATGTTCCATCATAACAATTGTGGATTTTTTTTGGTGGTTTTTAAAGATTAAGAAATTGAGCCAGGAGCTTACAAACTCTGCTTTCTTTGTCACGGGAGCTCATAAATTTCTTGATCTGGAGTTATTTGGTTTGGTGCTCTTATACTGAAATCTGCAGGCTGAATAAGCTGGTTAAACATTTATACGCTCATAGAGCACTTCAGATTTCCTAAAATAAATGTTCATATTAAATTAAATTATCTTCAACCCTTGTCTTGTCTAAGTCTCAATTAATGCCTACAAAACAAAACAAGTTTGACATTTTGTTTCTAATTTCAGCTGTCTATGTCTGGGAATAACACAAAAATGGTTGAAGTGATTTTGCTCAAATTTAAAAAACAAAACACCCCCACTTCTACGCCCCCAAAAAAACACAAAACAAAAAACCCAGACACCTCTGAATCTGAGACAAAGCATGGACAATTTGTTTGATAAACGTATATGAGCATCAAAACAAGAGTGAGATTAGAATGGAAGCTGGAATTCAAACTTTAATTATAGGGGGAACAATCCATACGTGCTATAGTTTCTCTAGATACAGTCTTTGTTTTCATGATTCAATTTTAAATTCTGAAATCAGTCATCTTAATCACATTTTGATAGTGGAGAAATAAACAGATATTGTAAGAAAAAAAAGTACTATAATTGAGATCTTTCTTTAAAATGAATTAAGTTTCAGATGCGCCAATCACCACAATATAGAACAGGAGTGCATAACCAAATAAGGTCAGTTAATTAGTAGAAAAACACATCTCAAAACATTACCACGCGTAATTCTATATGAATTGCGAAAGGCTTGACACTGCATGAACTCTTTGGGGAAGGAAAAAAAATAGAGAAAAAGCGTTAATTTCACAATCATGCAATAAGGTTAGATTTCCAGCAAATATTGATCCAACTTACTCTCTAAAGAGAGTTCCAACACAGGGGACAGCATGCAAAAAGAAAAAAGGGGAAAAAAGATAAAAACACACAAATTAGTTTCCATCAATGCAAAGTTCCTGTATGGAAGAAAAAACACAAAAAATAAAAAGGTATTTCAAAACCTGTACAGTAAATTTAAAATTATGTTCCAACTGTTCTTAGAATAGTTTGGAAATAAACAGTTGGTTTGCTCCTGTTTATTTTTTTCCTTAAAACCAATTTTTTTCCCAGAAGGACACAACTTTTTCCCTATGCAATTCCTTGTACTTGGTTAAAGATGTACTGGAACACATTAAAAAAATATTAGACATTCACACTTTACATACTGTAGTTATAATTCCTGTAGAAGCTGGGAGAAAAACTCTTAGAAAAGATTTTATATGGTCACCTCACATATAAATATAAAAAACCTAATTGTTAATTAACTCTTTGATGCTTAAAGTTGGGGTATCCTGCTGTGGAATGCGCTGCTGGACAATTAATGGTTGGGAATATCCAGTGGTGGCAACACAGTCAGTGATTGGAACTAGGGGTTAATTGTAAATATTTTTAAAATATTCACAGTATTCACTACTGTATAGTCACAAACTTTGGTTTAGATATAAAATGGATGATACCTCAGTTTACAAAACAAAACAGGTGTTATTATATCAATGTGTCCAGTAAACACGAAAAGAAGAGATATATTATATACATATGGAACACGATAATTGTTTATGATATCTGTCTATTTTAAAGTAATCTTCATTCCAAAAAAGATGTCATGCATGCTTATAATGTCACTTCTGTTTTTTTGTACACTCTTGTCATGAAATAATTTAAATGCTATATTTGGCATATACAATTTCAAGCTGGAATACTTTTAGTTCTGCATATTTTGCAAAGGAAAATAAGTTTTTAGTATAAAGAAAATTTTCACACAGTAGTTCTTTGATATATGAACTGATGTAATGTTTGTAAGACAGCAGCCAAACTCCTACTAACTAGCGTCCAAGTCAAATGGTGACAAAAATCAACAATTTGCCATTTCATCAACATTGGTATATTTATGGAGTTTACATAAATGTTCTAGAGAGCGATATTGCTAAAAGAATACTGTATATGCATGACCAATCAAAATAATGCAGTAGTTTACACAAGATGCTCATCTCATACATTTATCACTTTGCTTCAGCAGAACCCACCACCATTATTGATCTCCTGGAATTCTATATTTTTCAGCACTCTTTTTGTGTGTGGGGGGTCATTCTCTCTTCCTTCCCTCTTCTGGATGTTCACTTGATCTCCCTGGGGCATCTCTTCTTCAACTTTTCCCTTTTCCACTGCTTCTTCCTCTCTTGACTTCCTCCTATGATCCTCAAGGCCTTTAGCCTTCAGGTTCAGGCCTCTGTTCTCATGTGTACCCCAAAACTCCCAAATTTCTAATCTTGCCATAGGTGGCTATTACTCTGCCTTATCCGTAAAAAGGGCAAACGTCAGGCAAACTGACAAGTTAATTTGGTGCTTTACTGTTACTTTAAATTTGTCAGGGTTTCAGTACAGTTAAGATATCACCAAGTTCTGAAGGTTTATCAAGTGTACATTAACATTTTGATAGGCATTTTTCAGTATTCTATTAGCAGCAGCCATCAGTTGTGACATTTATAGTAGAGTTGTAAAATACTGAAATGATTAACTACTTTCTGTTTTGCTGTGAAACTTTATGAGTGTTTTTGCTATCACTTAATCAATACTGATAGATGGATAGAAACTAGCATATGCTGTACATCTCAGACAAAACGAGTACCTATTACTTTCAATACACAGAATACCTACAATTCAAGATAAGCCCTAAATTATAAATAAACATGAAGTTTTAAAAATGTTTTATATTTATTTTCATATCAGCATCTGCATTGCTGTGCCCAGTTGTCTGAGATGTTTCACTTTAAGTTCGTTAATGGAGCATTAAATAAGGCACAATGGTCCACCCACTTGAGAGAGAGAGAGAGAGAGAAGGCAAACAACCAAAACTGAAAATATAACCCAAAAGTGGAGATTCAGTAAAATAAGTTAGTTAAAATTGCTGTCAGAAACCCAAAAGAATATTGTAATTGTTATGTCATCCTGATTTATGAGGCACTGATCCATATTTGCCTTGTAAAAAGTCATGTAATGTGAACAAAACATGATACTGTTTTATTACTGATAGCAATATATTCTTTACCTTTATTTTACTACATATTAATGACCATATAAAAAGAATTAAATCTGTAGAGCCCTAATTTCCAACCAGTCATTTATCTATGAGAATAAAGGAAGACACACACAATCCATTATCACTCAAAAACATATACCCTAGAAAGCATCTGAAGTATATACTTGGGGTTGCTAATCAGCCTCACTTTGTACAATTTAACTGTAATATTTCTTGCATCAGATAAACTCAATATATTCCTGATTGAGAATCACTTTTCATTTTACCTTTGCAACAAATACTACGAGCTTACAAGAATATTTCAGAATGTTGAACACTCTAAATGTTGAATAAATTTCTATTTAGGTATAATAAAGTATTATTTACTTTATCTCAATTATCCTGTATCAGTAAAAGAAAAAGTGAACTTGTTTCAATTAATTAATTAATTGGGTCAAAACTCCACAGTTTCCTTACATTCTATCAATTAACTCAATCAGTGAAAATTAAGAACACATACTTATGCCTCACCACCTGTTTGCAAAGAGCTCCTAAATAACTCAGATGACCACCTCTCACAATTCAATGCTTATAATACACCTTTATGGCAAATACTTTAAGTGTGCAAATGAATACTTACTAATATAATTTACAGAAATTGTTCTGTAGTATTAATCTACAATATTTCAATGTGCTGACTACAAGTAAACAAAGGAATATCAACAGAAAAAAAAAACAAAAAACATACCTTGCTATGAGGGTCAGCAAACATCCTTGTGAAGATTTCACACAATCTTTTCAATTCAACGCGACTGTTAAAATGACGTAACAATTAATTAGTCAACTATGGGCTACTGTAAGGAATTATTTTAACAGGTCACAGACTGGATACTTCAAGTCCAAAGTTCAGGTTAAGAGGTTCTGAAAAACACCTTTTCAATAGAAATATTTTCATTTTTGTTTAAAATCTAATTTGAAGTTTAACTTCAATTTAAACATTCTTATGCACTATTTGCAACCCAAATAACATAACAATGATACTAGTACAGAACAACCAGTGAAACTGACTACAAGCCAAAGTGAAAGTGGTAGCTATTAAACGTCTCAAATAAAATTAATTTTAAAATTTTCAGTTTTAATAATCTAATGTTAATACAGATAAAATTTATTTTTAAATATGACTTAATCCAATAATGTCCCTTTATAGTAACACTTACTAAACGTTATAGAACCAAAACATTGTTTACATTTCCACTTATAACTGAAATATGAAACAGGATATATTTAGAGACATTCTTAGTCTTTAGGGATATGTCTACAAAGCAGCTAAGAAGGTGCTTCCCAATGCAGGTAGACAGACATGAGCTAGTTCTGCTTGAGCTAGCATGCTAAAAATAGCAGTGTAGCCATGAAAGCAATTGGTGGAGGCTCAGGCTATCCATTCTACATACCCAGAGGGACAGGCGGGATTGTACTGTACTCAAGCGGCGAGTCCAAGCCACTGCCTGGCCCGCTGTGGCCACACTCCTATTTTTAGTGCACTAGCTTGAGCAGAGCTAGCATATGTCTGTCTACCTGTGCTGGGAAGCACCCTCTCAGCAGATGTGTAGATATACCCCAGGAGTATCAAATAGTTTCTGTTGAACACAGGATTGCACCTCCAGTTGACACCAATTAGGACTCCACAGATTAGGAATTTTTCTGTCTTGAGGAGCTCTTGGTTTAAATTTTGTCTCTAATGCTATTAAATAAGGACTTCTATCACTGTTTATTATTTCTTTAATTTCACCAATAATTTCAACACTGTACAAGGTTCCCAGATAAAAATTATGTTAAACTAGAACATATATCAGTAACTTAAAGATAAAAATATTACAGGGATGTTGTAATTATCCCCCAAATAAGCATTACAAACCCAGGGAATTAAGAGTTAAGGGTAAATTTAAAAGAAATTCAAACATGTTAAGGTATGGGAATGCTGTTAAGTAAACAAAAAAATCTTAACTTTGCTTTGTAAAGATATCATTGTGATGACTAACAATTGTGAATAGTGCACTACAGTCCCAGATTAAACTAAACTGATTTTTAAAGACCTCTGATAATTTTTTAAAAATGCTTCCCTCAGAGTGTCATTACAAGGAAGAGATAAGGTTGTTTGGGTGCCTTAACTGTGTATTTACATATTTTAACATGTTTGGATTTCTTTTAAATTTAATCTTAAATCTGAATTTCTTAAGTTTCTACTGCTTGTTTTTTGGGATACTTATATGTAATGTTTTTACTTACATTACTAACATGCAGTCAAACTTAACTACAGTTTAATCTAAGTTCTTATCTATGATTCACTTTTAAAAATTTTTAAAATTTTTATATTTGCACACTAAACAAAAAATCCCATGAGTAGTGTTAATCATGTTGATCTGAAGATCTGCAGCATAACCCCAAGATCTGTATTTTATTTCAGCTTTTCGGCCCAGATTAACCAGCATACTCTGTGCATCCGAAGAAGTCTCTATGCATCCGAAGAAGCGAGGTTTTTACTCACGAAAGGTTATGCCCAAATAAATCTGTTAGTCTTTAAGGTGCCACCGGACTCCTTGTTGTTTTTGTAGATACAGACTAACACGGCTACCCCCTGATACTTGACAGCATGCTCTGGATGCTTTACTCACTTTGGAGGAGCACAAAACAGACAGAACATACATACTCGCTTTTCCATCCCTCCTGCCCCGTCCCCGTTTTCCCCTTTCTCCTAGGCTCCAGATTCCCATGCACATCACCCCTCAATACTTCCCCTCCTGCTCTCCTTGTTGAGTAAATCTGGTACAAGGGTATTTTTAAAAAAATATATTTTTTAAGACTGTCACTTTTGCCATTATTTTTAATAATTGAGCATTTCTTCTTTAACAGGAGCTAAAGAATAGTGTTCTTCTACAAATAATTTCGTCAAGATATGCCCTTTTCAAAATGGCTCCCATCTTCTCTTGTCCTCAATGAAACAAAGGCCACAGTTGTCCTAAGCTGCCCTTTCAAAGTAACCACTAGCTCCCTGAAAATAGCATAGTGTAGGCCTAGCTTGACATAAGTAACTTGCCTCATTTCTTAGTGGACATGATTGGGAAGATGAATGAAAAGTTAAGTTGTAAACAGGGGCTTGACAAGCAGTATGCTGGAGTCAGGATGTCTGTACTAGCTAAAATAAGCAGCAACATCCTAATGCTAGCGACAATGGACAAGATAAACCTGGAATGTGAAGATCATGTTCTGCATGAAAAGCACATGGACAAAACATGCTGCACAGCGATTGGTTCCTGCAAAATAACCAAGCCAATCCAAAAATGTGTGATGTAATGTATAGCAAATGCAATGTAACGTGTAAATGTATATAAAAGAAGAGGTTTTCTGTGTAACTCTGGATGCATGGTACGCCCTAAATCTAACCCCTACGCTTGATTCTGATCAACTCAGCATAGCTTTGCTGTATGCCAAATACAGGAACCCGAGTAATGAAATCTGGAGTCAAACTGAATGATTTGGATCCCAGAGAACTGGATGAAGTGTTCTCCCAGAACTGGACAAGGTGTTCTGGATAAGCTAAGTGAAAACACTTTCAGAGGGAATCCCAACACATAGGAATCCTCACTCTTCTATGAAGGTAGCTTGGCTTAAAACTCCCCATTCTGAGCAATGGGAGACGGTGGTTATTTCCAGAATTTCAACTCTTGATAGTTTAAGAGTATTGGGATGAGGGACAAGGATCTCTGGTACTTATTGTAGAGGTAAAAGTGTTTAAGCATGTTTCCTTCCTGGTTTGAGGCCAGTTTTTGCAGTTTCTTCTGAGTCTGCAAGTACCTTGTCCTCCTTCTTGCTAAAAGAATTTGTCACTGGTGAATTTTACACAGTTCACAGTGTTTGATCTGTGTGAATCTAATATCCAGATCTACAGTCACAGGTTCCTCCAGATACGTCAATGAAAGACATGGACCTTGCTCTGGGCATCCACAGATGTGTATGCCAGGATAGTAGCAGCTAAGGAAATCTTACTTTGGATAAAGTCTACAATTTCAGCAAGTAAAATCTTTAGGTTTTTAAGCTATGTTTCTGAAAAATTGTCCCAAGAAAGCAGGAAATGAGATACTATTTTTTACATGGTCATAAGTGATGCACTTAATCTTATAAATATAATACATACCAAGAAACTGATTATCATCATTTTTGTGCATTTACAGGATAATGCAAAGAGATCTCACAGAAACACTGCAATCTGCATTATTTATTCAGAAGAATATACTACTTTGCTTATTTCAGTATTTTGAAACTCCAATTCTACCTGTAATACAATGAAGGCTACATCTACACATATAAAGCTACTGGGAAAATGAGCCTCAGCTGAAAAACAGTGCCTCCTCCCCCTCAAGGAAAACTGTTCTTGTGTAAGAGACATTTTCTTACCTTAAAGTCCTCTGATTTTTTAATAAATTCTGTAGACCTAGAAGACCTTCTTTTCTTTCTGACCAGTTGGAGCTAGCACAGCGATTGAGGACCTCTGCCACATCTTCTGTCTGCCGCATATATGTAGGTATGCTGCCATTGCGAGAGCTGTACGATCTTTCTGAACAGGCACTGGATGCATCACTGTTGGCATCATCATCAGAGTACATTCCATACGACTCGTACCTCCTTCGTACAGGCTTTTTCTATCACATACAGACTCCCAGATTAGCAATGATCACAAAGAGTTGTCAAACTTTGTATTTGCACATATCTATACAAAGGCTAGCACCTTCACTGATCACCTGCATTGACATTATGGCTCCAATTCCATTGTTCAACAAGTCATGCAACATTAATATCTTAAAGCCAGATTGATTATATAGAATTCGAAAAGTAAAAATGAAGCATATAGCACGACAGGTTATCCATCTAATCAATTTTCTTCTGCATAAGTTTTACTTGTGAAAAATACAAATATTTATCATAATAGAGGGAGAACAGAGCTACTGAAATTTAGTCATTTCACTCAACCTTACACAACCTCAAACTAACAATATCAAGTTTAAAATGACATTTTCTATTACTTCTTTATATTTAGTTTTGTACAATCTTAGTACATACTATATTAAAATGTCAAACTATCAGAAGTAAGGGGAAAACAGTGATTTCTATACCTTAGTCCGTATGTCTCCTAAGAGCTGATAGCAGTAAATTATTAAAGAGAAATAGAGAAATTGAGAACATTGAGGATAATTGCCATGTACTAGTACTATAACTAATTTTCATTATGGTATCACCTGTCTCTAGAAACAAAAGAATTTTTTTTTTTTTTTTTTTTTTTTTTTTACTATATTAAGACAATGGCTATTAGCATGCAACTTTATTTATTCTTTGCCCTCACGATCTCAGATATAAAATATGTAACATTGCCATATCATGCATTACCAATAAGAAATTTTACTGTCTATACTTTTCCAGAAAAATACATCATAAAGTAATTTATTAGGTCTTCACAAACTAAGATAAGACACAAACTTCCCAGTTTAAAACTTTCTGGCTCTCTTACACAATGGCAATTCAACTTGAGGACCCTGTTATGTACAGTCAACTATCTCAGCACCAACCAAACAAATGTTCTTGGTTTTGGAATTTTTTGTCAAAATGTTTTTCCCCTTTTTCTACTGTGGAAGTTTTCTGACAGCTTTGCTCTCAGCATCTGGAACCTTCCACCCAATTCTGGAATTACAAAGAGTCCCTATAGAAGCAAATTACTAGAATTCCGTATAAGAATTAATTTTAAAATACAAAAAACAAAAACAAAAAACAACCAACATCCTCTCCCGCCTCAAAAAATAACCAAAAACATGAAACCCAAACAGGCCAAAGGATTGAGAAAAAACAGACTTATCACCCTAGAGGGAAAAAAACCACATCGCTGCAAAAGAAACCCCCTATCCAAACTCTGAATCAGAGGTGTGTAGTGAGAATCCTGTTTGATATAGTCAAAGAAGCAGAAGTATAAGTGAATACTTTCCCCTTCATTAACATTACAATTTGCACAGAATTCTTACTCTTCAATGCTGAATAACTTGAGGGATGCTCTTAAAACAAACAGCACTGCAACAGTGTAACAAGTAGGCCTATGCTTAACCGTATGTGGAATTCTTTCACGACCTTCAGAAGGAATCCAGAATGTGCTCATAGCACCACATTATCAATGTAAAACCTGATTTAAAGTGGATCAGTCAGAGCTTGAAGCTCTATGAATTGAGCTCTTTGCTACCAGGAAAATGAACATTCATATAAGAAATGTTAATTGGTAGAATCTGAATAGCTTGAAAGGAGCATTCATCAGTTTTGGGCAGACCACATCAATACCACAACAGAAGGGGGGGGGCTTATTAATTAACGAGTTATTTCTAACACGTAAAGAGCCACGTGAATCAGGTGACCAAGCCCTGCAGAGACACTTCTTTAAATTCAGCTGATCCATGATATCCCAAAACAGTCGCCAAATAAACAGGAATAGAATAAATCTTTAATCCTTGATTCGCAATTAAATGGTAGTGTAGCAGTTTTGTGGGGCGGGGGGGGGGGGAAGGGAGAGAGAGAATTAGGTCCATTTACATTACAAATATTTTATATTTACAAATAGATGTCATGATACTGGAGTTCTATCTTTTCAAGAGCCTGGACAGGGATAGACTCCTGTACTGCATCAGAGCAAAATAAACTCAGAGCCAGATTCTCATCCAAATGGATAGTCACTACCAATCAGAGCAAGACTAGGGACCACCCATGCCAGGGGCTTTGCTACAAGAGGTTATGGTGGACAGATGTACAGATGACATTTCCTTCTCCAGTGGGTGGAGAGGCATTCCTTATTAGTGTGATCTTCCAGTATCAGAAGCACAAAACTGATAGTTTCTCATTCAGGTAAGCAGCCTTCTAAAACCTCAGTGAGTGAAACAGCAGAAGACAAAACTGAGGAAGAGACATTCGTAAACCTGACTCCCTCGAAGACACCACCCTCCCATCACACACACAGACAAACTGAATCTTAGGCTTGGTCCACACTTACCCCCCAAGTCGAAGTAAGGTACGCAAATTCAGCTATGTGAATAACGTAGCTGAATTCGACATACCTTACTTCGAACTTACCGCGGTTCAGACGCGGTCCACACGCGGCAGGCAGGCTCCCCGTCGACTCCGCGGTACTCCTCTCGTTGAGCTGGAGTACCGCAGTCGACGGGGATCACTTCCTGGTTCGATTTATCGCGTCCAGACCAGACGCGATAAATCGAACTCGGAACTTCGATCCCCAGCCGCCGAACTAGCGTGGCAGTGTAGACCAGCCCTTAATTGTTCTTTTCCATGAAGCTGACAGAAAGTTCCTCACTATCAGAGGTACTGGACAGTTTCTGAGTGCAGGTAGCCAGGATTTACCAAACTGTCAGTCACACTCTGAACAGTTTTGCTTGACAGGATTTCAGCAATGGAGGAAGGGGAGAACATTTTCTTGACTTTTATCTCAGCCAAGGTACAGGTATAGGAGTTTTAAAAAGCTATGATACAATTACTCTGACTCAGAGTGGTTTCTGCCAATGACACGCTAACCTATGTCCTCCAAACATTTAATCTATAAAGCACATTGACCTATGAAAGAAATGGACAGGAAAGAAACAAAGCAAGGAGTCACTTAACTGATGACTTTATGAATATAAGTAGCGTACTACAGGACAACATGCTAAATACCAACTTATGACAAAACACAGAAGACCTCCATTGATTTCAGGATATTAGGTTAATCTGAATTTGAATATTTGCTAATGTGAAATTAAGGCTAACAAAATACAGAAACAACAACAAAAAAGTAAAATATGCCTAGACCTGGCTTGATTTAATAGAGGAAGACAGTAAAGAAAATCCCTTCAAAATATTAAATCAACATTTTAATTTTGGGTGGTTAAAAATATCAAAGAAAGGTAAATAAATGGAACTGGTTGGAAATTCACTAAGGAACTTCTATCAGAAAGCATCAATTAGTTGAAATTGAGACATCTGTGGGACTGTGTCCATTTTGATAACATTCTAATGGAAATCAGGCACGTTTCCAATGGAAACCAACCTTGCTGTTTTTCTGCCAGCTTGTCTGCTGGCCTCCTTGGCAGCCCAGCTGGAGATAATTGTGGAGCCCAGACTTCCAAGCTCCTGGTTCCCAAGCTCCAAGTCTTGCAGCTCTTTGGCAGCTCCCAGGTAGCTTGCCTAATGGGGCACTGCAGAGCCGGGGCCTCTTGAGGAAGTGAGCTGTCAGTTCCCTGTCTGACCAGTTCAACACCTGGCCGGCTCCCCACAAAATATTTTAATTTTTTTTACCCAATTCTGCTATAGAATGGAATTTTTTTTCAAAATCTAGAATTTTTCATGGAACAAAAATCTCAATGCTGTTTAGCTCCAGTAAACAGGTTCTTCATTTTTTGTATAACATGCAAAATACATTTAGATACTAGAAAGTATAGGATAAATATGATGTTACCAAGTTTATATGCATATATATTTATTTTCCTGTTGTGTTGTGCTGATTTACAAGGTAAACAGGTGTCCTATTATCCATGTTTTAATCGTTTTAAAGTTGTGATATCAATTTGACAGTCATTATCATGGCAAATCCCAAAAGGATCTCCTTGCAGACTGAGTACCATCTGGACTGATGAACTTGACAATAGCTGGGAAATAAAACTACAGCCAAGTCTGTCTCTGAATTACAAGTCTGCCTTTTGTTCTACAGAGGTGCAATGGCAGAGCAACTTAACTTTCAACATTTGTTTTTATTTTTTAAGTTTCAATAGTTAACATAATTCTGAGCCAAAACATAGAAAATGGAAACCAGACCCAAAGAATCTACAATCTTGAGAAGATATTGGAACAGTTTCTGATTTTGGACACATCATTAATTTGCTTGTTCAGAGCTTTAGTTTTTATTCAAAGGGGAAAAAATTTCAATCACTCGTCTTGTATTACACTAGTTGTTCATGCTATCATTTAATCAAAATTCCACCTCAATGAGCTAGCTCAGGTAAACAAATGTAATTTCAAACCTAAGGAACTAAACTGTTTCACAGTTCAGAATGCCTATAAATACATATATGTAGATATATATAATATACAATTTAAGTGATCACACAATTCAAAGTTTTTAGTCTGCTTAAAATGATAAATGGAGGATTCTTACCAATGCATCTGCTACTGCTTCTTCTACATCAGAACCTGTGTTCAGAACTCTCATAGCACTAACTGATGATGACAATCTACTTGACTGACTGATCCCAAACCCTGTACCTGTCATAACAGAATAAGAAAATAATAAACATTTAAATCAGAATTGGAAAATAGAATTTTAGTCACTTAAAAAAACCCAACCAGAAGTATAGTAATTGGCAAGTGCTCTGCTCTACTTAATTTCATTTAACTGAAAAGTTAAAAAAAGAATTGATGTGGCAATTATCTGATTTGTATTTTTGCAGCAAAAGAATGGGAAAAATAACAAACATTAATCAATGATTAAATAGAATGTCTGATAAATATTTGTACTATGAAAGAAAGGAATCAAGAGGATCAACTGAGGCGTTTGCACTACAGAGCTACTTTTCTTTTGAAGAGCACCTGTTAAAATATATTAATCATTTTGGGTTTTTTTAATTATTTTTTAAAATAAAAAGCAAAATATGAGGAGGGCTACCAAGAGCGCTATGTTAGAGAACTACATGCATAAAAAGTGCTACAAATACCAAATAATGAGGAACTAAAATAAAGTACATCTGCCAGTAAAAATAACTGTAAATACATTGGGGGGGGGGGGAGGGTTGACCTTGGGAAAGAAAAGCTTGCAATGTGTACACATCAACCTTGATTATCCAAAACACAGAACTCAAATTAATGTAAATAATAGTTTTTAAAAATGGATTGTAAGGAAAACCAAGTGGGAAAAAGTATCCAGGATGACTGCACAGATGACAGCAAAGTGTACTCATCCTTCACCTGTAGCCCCATATACTTCTGGGGTGTAGAGGGCACCAGTAGATCTGGAGTGATGCCTGGAAGCTGCAATAACAGGATCATATAAACCCTATCTATTATCATGGAAGCAAGGTACAGTGATAACTGTATAGATAAAGAGAATACTTTTTAGGAAACAGATGTAGCATTATTGCATGAAACAGAACAAATTAACAGAGAAAACATGAAAAAGTTTCAGAAAACAAGTCCCTCAACTACATAACAAGTGGGTTATTGTACAGCAATTCATGCTGCAGAAAATTAAAAGCAAATATTCCCTTTTTTAATTCAAAGCAAAACACATATATACACCCCTAATGAGCCTTTCAAAACAGCCCACTGAGTCTGTATCTTAACTGCAAAGTTAACTTGACTTGTCTACACTGGAGGGCCTAGCTTGAATGACAGCAGCCACAATGCAAAATAATACTTGAGCTGCACAGAATAATTAGATTACTGCACAGAGTTACTGTATTAGCAGCTGACAAGTTGTGCTAACTTGAGCTGTAGCCTATACCCTTGAAAGGCTAGCTAATTCAAGCTAAAAGTACCACTAGGCTCAAATTAATGTTTTTTGTGCCTGGATAAAAAAAAATGATTTAAAAAGGGGTTTTTTTTAATACATTATTTTTTAAAAGTAAATGAAAAGTTATGTATTAAAAATAAACCTGTTTTATTTTCAAATTTAATTTTAAAACTCTATTAAGGCCTAAATTTACAATTATTCTACTTAAATAAATAAAATATATGTTACATCAATTAGCTTCTTCAAATTTTAATGAGATTAAAGAGTGCTGCTTTTTAAATTATATTTAGAATCAGGTGAAAATATCTTTAATTTCTGAAGTCAACTCAAGTTTTATAAATATGTCACAATGTCAGGTACTGCATTAAGGATCTGTATTATTTTCAGTCTTTACAATGGAGTGTATATTGGAACAGGATGAACCTCTCTAATCCGGCACTCCCTGGTCCGGCAACATCTGTGGTCCGGCATAGGTGCTGACTCCCTGAGTGCTCCGGGGCTAGAGCACCCATGTGGAAAAATTAGTGGGTTCAGAGCATTCACCAGCACCAAGCTCCCCACTCCCTCCCCTGCCTCTCACATGCTGGTGGCCTCACGCTTGCCAACTCCTCCTCCTCCCTCCCAGCGCTTCCGGAGCATCGCGAACAGCTGATTCACAACGTTCAAGCTCCAGGAAGGAGGACGATGAACTGGGGCTGGGGGATGGGACCCCAGGCGAGGAGCTAGCAGCTGGGGGCCGGCAGCCGGGACCCCAGGTGGCAGCGGGACCATGCTGGTGGGGGGGGGGCATGCTGGCCCACTGCCTGTGGGTGCTGCAGCACCCCCTACATACGTGCCTATGGAGACCCCCTGGCACTCTGCATTGACCTCCCGTGGTTCAGCAAATTCTCTGGTTCGGCACCGGTCAGGTCCCGAGGGTGCCGGACTAGAGAGGTACAACCTGTATTTACATTTTTCCAAATGTAAGTACTTTCAGTTACTGGTGTGCAGAGAAACTTGTGCCTAGTTCTAGTTTCAGTTTAGCTAGCAGGTACAGTGAGAATATTTTCTTCATTTGGACTAGTTCATTCAAAGCTGAGAAACTGATTGGGAGTTGAAAAAGCAGGAAAGCTTGTTTTCCTCTTCCAATCTATCAATAAAAACACGTGGGAGAGGATGAGATCTACTAATACTAAACATTTGAAGGACATGGGGCCAGACTGTCAAAGGTATTTAGGTTTCAATTCCTACGTGAGTTGAACCTACCCTACTTAACTGCTTTTGAAAATCTCACTAGGCACCTTTCTGCATCTTTAGGTGCCTAAATACCTTTGAAAATCTGTCGCCATGTCCTTCTAGTTTTTAGGATTAACTTCCCTTGGAAATGAAACTTAAATACCTTCAAAAATCTGGCTCATGGTGACCAGAAACAATCCATCAGTTGACTAACTACAGTTAATACTTCCTTTCTTTAACTAATCAGTTTTAAATGCAAAATATGTTTTGATAAACGTACTTGTTTTTCTTATGTATCAACATATTTAAGGTAGTTTTATTTAACTAACAATTTAAAAATGCTGGTTTTGTACTATTTAAATTTAATTCACATTTCCATCCAAATATATCTTGACACCAACCCTGAGTAAAAAATTGTAATCTACTAGAAAAGAATTGTATCATTCACCATTTTCTAATTGTAAAAATTAAGAATCTGAACAAATGTATGATAAACTATATAACTGATTAAATACATGTGTATAGATCTTGTACATCCTCCTGATTAGTAAGAAGTATGTCCAAATTTACTGTAAAGGCTATATTTGGTTGCAAATCAGCATGTTTTAATGGTTATACAAACCAATGAGAATGAACCTGTCTTTAAGAAAATAACTGAAGTACAAATGCAAAACAAGATTGAAATTAGTTATTAAATCAAGATTTCCTGCTTGCTGATTTAAATAATGAATAAAATCTGTGATTTAAATCAATCAGTCCTGGTATGGACAGGACTCGAGTTACTGGTAACATTCCACTTATAACCTGAGTTGACTTTACAGTGAAGTCAAGCCCACTTAGTATGCAATAGATGACATTTTTTCATTGTAATTTTTGTAATCCACTAAGCAATGTTTAATATATTTTGCATCAATATAAATATGCTTACGTTATTTAACTATGAAGTATGTTTTTTTCTCCCCCACTAACTATATTATTGGATGCTTGGTTCTTTGGCAATCATGCGCCAGCATACTCGACTAGACACTCAGCAGTATAAAAGACAACACAAAATCAATGGCAGCGACACATGCTATCTGCAGGGCTTTGAACACATGCTATAGTGGGACCAATTTCTCTATAATCTTCCACTGAAAATTCACTCAAGATATGAATTAAGAGCTCATAATATCTCTAGGAATACTATTTAAAGCAACCTCTCCCCCCACAATTACATAAAACAAGCAAGCCAAAATATGCTAATACATGGCTATAACATATTATAACAGGTAAAGTTGACTTTATTCCACAATCTCTTCTTCAAGAGTGCTCTTTGTGCTCCTGATATTATAATGGACCATCTCTAATTATTTAATTTGGTTATTATTCTACCAAATTTTTAAAGATTTGTTATAATGAAAAATGTTGAAAAGGACTAAGAAATAATGTACTTTCTGGTCAAAGGAAGTTAGAAAGTAATCTTGAAAAATATAAATCTTTAAAATTAACTGTATATCATAAATCAATATTCAGTTGCATATAAATCACTTGTTTCTCAGAGCAGTGAATTAAAATAGGTGCCCTCCTGCCACTTCTTTGATATCAGCATCTGTAATCCCTGTGATGTGGGATTACAAAAAGGTTTATACACCACACATAGAAATGGCATAAACTTGGGACATTATGCAAACAAAATATTCTTTTTTGGGAGCCATTAACAACAGTCTACAGTTGTAAAAGGGTTATATGTAAAATTGTCACATACATTATATAAAAGAAAACTAACAACTGAGACAGCTGATTTACTTAGTCTACATTCCATTGGAATCAGTGGAAAATTCGAGAGAGTATGGTCTGCAGAATTATTTAAAGAAATAAATTTGACAATAGACTAATTATATGGAATAGGACAAACTGGTTTAACTAATCACTAGGGAAATTTGAAAACAAAGAAATCAGGAAATAGAAAGGTAAGAAGTCCTGTGATATTTATTTCAGGAACATACATTTTTACTAAATCTTGATTTCCATAGGGGTTATTTTACATTCTTGATACAAGCAACAGATACAACCTACTCGTGGTATTTGGCATCTGAACACAGAGGTTAAAAACTTGATTAACAACAACAAAAATAACATTTCAAGTAACAGCTGTCCCAGTAACCTAATGTCTAACAACAACATTATGAAGTTATTTTAATAACGGTGTTTTAAAAATATGGAGCATTTGGCTTGGCATAACACGTCAATCATATACAACATGCAAGCAATTAAACTGTTCAAATTCAAGCTGCAGAGTAGCAAAAGAAGCACAGAAGTATCTGAAAACACACTGCTTTTTGAAAACAAATACATAGTACACCACAGAACCTATAAGAGCTGACTAGTGGATCTTATATAACGTGCTCTTTCATTAGGTTTCCTGATTAAATAGCATCTGGTTAAATTAGCATTAGATACTAAGACAGCTTCCATTTATTTACCCAACTCTTTGCCAGTAAAAATAAGGCTGAAAGGTGCAAACTGCCTTAACAGCCCAAAATAAGGATCAGACTTTCAGATGCTAATTAGGAATATACTGTGGTGCCTCACTTTGAGGTTGAAAATAGAGTAAATATCTTAATATTTTGGGAGTGAGATGAGGAGTTGGAAGCAAGGTATCTTTGCTGTAGACTATACTGAACTGGGAAGAAATAAAAAAGGCACTAAAAATCTATTATAAATTCATACAAAGTAGGTAAATTTCAAATAGAACCTTCAAGTGATACATTTTCTACCTTACAGAAGGAGCCCTAAACCAACTAAAATTATCTTTTCAAGACAAGTCTGCTACCTAAATCATAGGCAACTTTCAACCAGATAAAATGATTTATGATTAGAAGCTACTGATTTTTTTAAAGCCAACTATGTGGTTCCTGTACTTCCGTTTGAGTTTTGTAAATACTTGTCAGTTTGATACTTGCAAATATTTTAAGTGTCAGGCCAGTAAATTGCAGCATTGCATGTGAAAGCTGTGTCATTGTTGACAGTAGCTCTAGGAAAGAAGTCTGAAGTATCTGTGGTTGTGCAAATCTGAAATGTAAAGAAGTTGCCAACCTCCTCTCCCCCATATAGCGACCTATGTTAATTGTGTGTTATCCTGTTTTTGAGACACTGAAAGTAGGTTTCAAAACTGGATTTAGGTTCACCCACTCTGACAAGGGCCCTTACTATTTGCTTCCATTTATTTCCAAAAAAATGTAGACTATTCTTACAGTGCAAGTCTGCTTTGAAAAATGACTGCATGAAACTGGCATCTTCTAACTCAATGGATCTGCTACTAATCTGCACTGAGATTCATACTGACTTACTTCAGTGACAAAAATAGAATTAAAATTTGTTTTTTTACTTCTATTTACACTCTCACTAGCGTGACAATATAACAATATTTTTTCTTTTCTATCAATAGAATTGTTTAGTAACTGCACTATAATTCCTATTATTCCTGCAATATAAAACCAGTTATCAATCCGATCTATCTGATCCAGGGAACAGGAAGAAAAACCCAGGTTTTGAGCTCGAGCAAACCTAGTCACAGTTAGTTTTTTATTTATATGCATTTCATATTGAAATCAAGACAAAAACATGTAATCTTACAACACCATTTTTACAGTCACTTTTCTGAGCAGAACTGCCCTTTTTAAAGCCTCAATCTAGGAACTGTGTGGTGAGGTTATCTTCCCAGGTTCTTGGTGTAAAGGATAAGACTAATACCAGTGTGGCATTTACTTTTTTAACGTGCATTTCATTCACACGTTGATCAATACTCCAGCAAAGTAAATGGCAAATGAGTTCAAAGAAAATAATGGTTACCTACTATAAGCTAAATGAAGAAGGCATGGGTTCATTAGATGCAGATAATGAAAGGCATAAATAGGCACAACGAAGGTCTCCAAGTACTTACCAAGGGGTGGAAAAGAGCGGACAGGGCTTGTGTCCCTGCTACTTTCACGGCTGGCCTCCCGACTGCACCCCTGACTCACACTAGGTCGAGGAATGCGGCTGCCTCGTGCTAGTATGATTCAGTGTACAGACAAACAGCAGCACAGAAAGGGAGAAGACACAAGAAAAGTTGTAGTTTTAATGTAATTTTGTTTGTGCAATAAATCAGATCAATTATGTATTTCTAAGAACAGACGTTGCCTCTATTCATGTAGCATTACAGTATTATCTTCTTTCTGACATTTTATGAATTTGACGAATTGCACTAAATGCTGCCAGTTCAGATGAAAGTATCTTCGCCACAACATAAACTAACGTGAATTTGGAACCTCTCTAAAGAAAGTTGAAAAAATGCTTGAAAAGGATGGTAACTTTTTTCAGATTATAGTTGAAACATTAATCAGTACAGCCTGTGAAGAGCATACAAACAGAGTAGTTCATTCAATAACTTACTCAGTTTAGTTCCAGCTAATCTTTCTTTTCTAATGTGGAAATAAATGCTGCTTTTGCTACACTAGTGTACAGTACAACAATCTATTTAAAAAGGGGGGGAATAATTCAGTTTAAGGTAAAGGTAAGGTAAAACTAAATAAAAATACTATAGAAAACCAGCTTACGGATAGCAGTAACCTCAGTTTTATTTATTGACATATTTCAAGAGAGTATAGATAATTGAGTTATACCATGAGGCTGTACTTGGGGGAAATATGAAGCATAATACATTCATTTTTACACTACACTACACTACACTACACTACACTACACACACACACACACACAATAAAACAAGTATTTCAAGGACGCTAATTGTCTTGATGTCTTCTTCCCAGTTTTCAGTGTTTCTAGGCTGCCATAAAGATTTTGAGGGTTCCCAACAACGTTGGATTTTTATAGGGGCTCCTATTCACTTGCTCCTTCCACACTTCCTTTTCTTTGCTTAAGAGTAAGCATGGAGCATAGATCAGTGCATTCAGAGAACAGCAAACTTCATAGTCCCACCTTAAATTTGAAACTGTTGCAAATCATAGGCCTCCCTTGGGAGTTGGCTTTGCGGGTCCCCAGTCAGATTTTAGAGTTTCAATTATATGTTTTCCAGCCCCACCATCTGTAACTAGGCACCAAATGCATAAAGTAACACCATCTGTAAAGAAACCTAAAAAGGTTACTTGATAGTTCTTACCTACTGACAATCTAGAAGGACTTGCTTCTCTACTGCATCCTTGGCTTCGTGGGATCTTGCTCCGTTTTTGTGCTGTTGCTGGATTGACTAATATTCTCTGAACCCCTGTGTTCATAGTTGAAAGTGCAGTTGTAGTCAAAACTCTTCCAGGAGATCCAGATCGACTACCAGCTGAAGGCAAAATAAGTAAAAATAAATAACTTCAGATAAATAGCGAGGATAAAAAAACAGAAAAACAACATGTTTGACTGAAATGGTTTGAAAAAAATAGTTTGGAAGAACTTACAAGATAAAATGTAAAATTTGAGAAAAATCTGTAAGATCTACATCTAGTTTTAAAAATAAAGCACCTCTCACAAGGTATAGGTATAAAAATATCCCTGCAAGTCTGAAAACTCTTATCATGGTATTTAGGACTATATGAGCACCATAGCAAGCAATTGTAACCGCACACCAAAAATATTATTCCTTTCACTAGTATTTACAAAAGCATCCAATATTCCCGAATGTGAAGATGGAGAGGTTACTTACCTTACAGCAATTTGAGTTCAAGAGGTTTTGTCCCTATGGGTGCTCCACCATAGGATGTATGCAAGCCCATGCATCCTCGATTGGAGACTGCAACGTAGTGTCTGTGAGCCCATGCCTGTACAAAGCAGTTCCTCCTGCTCTGAAAGAGTGCATCTTGAGAGATGTCAGCCGGTCACCACTCAGTTCCTTCTTGACAGCGAAGCTGAATTCCACAGCAGAGGGGAATGAGGGTGGGAGGTGGAGCACATTTAAGGACAAAACATCCCAAAGAACTCAAGTTACTGTAAGGAAGTAACCTTTCCTTCTTCTTCGAGTATATGTCCCTATGGGTGCTCCGTTGTAGGAGACACCCAAGCAGAAGCTCAGTGAGGAGGTAAGTCCAGGACACACACAAAAACCACATCACCAAATGAGTTATCTCGGGAAGCAGATAAAATGAAGCAATGTTTGGCAAAGGCATGCACAGAAGACCAAATAGGAGTCCTGCAGATTTCTGCTCTGGCAACATCCTTCAGTGAAGTTACAGATCTGGACTGAGCACTAATGGAATGTGCTGTTACTCTGTGAACACCAGCATTTTCAGAGCAGGTCAAGATGCATTCAAAACCCACTTAGTTTGTGTGGAAATCGGTTGACCCTTCATCCTATCTGCAATTGATACAAATAGTCTGAGAGATGCCAAGAATGGTTTAGATAGAAAGCAAGGGCCCTCCTGACATTCAGTGGACAAAGGTTTATTCTCTGGCGGCACAAGGTTTGGGCAGAAAACTGGTAGGTGAATTTCCTGGTTAATCTCATATTCCAAGGGAGGAATATAACATCTGGGAGGAAGCAAGGATAGGGATGTAATATAATCTTGTCTTTGTAGAAGGTGGTACATGCTGGGTCCACCATGAGATCTTCCCACTCCCCCATTCACCTTGCTGAGGTGAAGGCAATTAGGTACAAAATTTTGGGGAGAGAGAGCAGGTTGCCATTGGTTTGAAGGGGGATTTTTTTTTAGGGCATTCAAAATCAGTTGAAGTCCCACTGGGGAGCCAGCTGTCGAATGGCAGAAGCAAGTTGTATATGCCCTGAAGAAATCTGATTGCTGTAGGGTGTGGCAAAGACTGAGAAGCCCCGGATAGATGAGTGGAAGGCTGTGATGGTGACAGATGCACTCTGATAGAGCTAATTGAGAAACCCTATGTGTCTAATTCAAATAGGTAGCCCAGGATGTTAGAAAGCAGAACTTCCTAGCCTTTAGAAGATGTGAGGGAGCACAATGATTGGAAGTGCTTGCACCTTTGCAAGTTTTATGAGTACTAGGCTTTCTACTAGATAAGAAAACTGACTGAACTCTAGCCAAAAAGGTCAATTCCATGCTTGAGAGTCACCGAGCAGCCAGGTTCTCAGATTCAGAGAGAAGGGGATGGGATCGATGAATACCTGTGCCAATAGGTCTTTTGTAATAGGAAATCTGAGGGGTGTTACCTTCCCCAAGAGGTGGATGAGGTTTGAGTACCACACCTGTCTCAGCCAAGCAGGTGATACGAGGCTAGCTCATGCTCCTTCTCAGTGCAGCTTGAGAAGAGTCTTGAGGATTAATGGTATAGCTAGGTAAGCACAAAGAGGGTACAAGGCCATGTTGTTATCAGGGCATTCCCCAGAGAGTCATAGGCCTGGTCTACACTTACCCCCCCAATTTGAACTAAGGTACGCAACTTCAGCTACGTGAATAATGTAGCTGAAGTCGAAGTACCTTAGTTCGAACTTACCTCGTTCCACACGCGGCAGGCAGGCTCCCCCGTCGACGCCGCGGTACTCCTCTCATATAGCTGGAGTACCGCAGTCGACGGCGATCACTTCCTGGTTCGACTTATCGCGTCCAGACAAGACGCGATAAGTCGAACCCAGAACTTCGATTCCCAGCCGCCGAACTAGCGGCTGGGTGTAGACATACCCATAGCTGTAACATCCATTGCAATAGAACAGGAAACATTTCATTTTGTTCAGGGTAGCAAAGAGGTCTACCCCGGTATACCTCAGGTCTGGCAGATCCTGTGGAAGACAGAGTCCTTGAATTCCCATTCATGATCTCGCCAGAAGTGCCTGCTCAAGGAGTCTGCGATTGTATTGTGGAGATCTGGTAAACAGGCTGCCGATATTTCTATCTGATGAGAGAGAGACCAGATTCCAGCCTTAATAACTATGCACATAAGGACTGGGGTCTTGCTCTGCCCTGGCAATTGACTTAATACATTGCTACCCTATTGTTCAGCATTACTCTGAGTGACTTTGTATGGTGTGAGAGAAGTGTTGGCAAGCATATCAATCTGTTTTTAACTCCAGACACTGGTTTGGAGCACTGATTTCTGTGCTAAGTCTCCCTGTAGATGAGCTCCCATCCCAGAGATGCGTCTATTGTGAGGGTCTTCAAAGGTGCTGGATACAAGAATGGAGTTCCAATACAGACCTTCCATGTGTCCTTCCATCATGTAAGACAGTCCAAAACCTTCTAAGGCATTGTGATATCTTAGGAAAGGCTATGTCAGTTTGGAATATACACTGTCCTTATCCACGTATAGAAGCAACCTGAGGTGCATCCTCACATGGGGTGTCACATACCTGGAGGCTGACATGTGGCCTAAGACCTACAGACAAATTCTCACTGTTTGTGGGCTGCACTGCAATGTTGAGCTTTGGTTGGATAGGGTGAAGAATCTCTCCTCAGTAGGTAGGCTCTTGCTGTTGTGAAGTCCAGAGTAACTCCTATAAAGTCTCCTCTCTGTACTGCAGATAGTGCGTATTTTTTGTGGTTGATGCAGAGTCCCAAAGATGGGAATAGTGTTTAATGGTCTGGACACTGCTGCCTGGACCTCTGTCCACCAACTCTTGGACTTCCTCTAGTGGGATTTGAAGTGAATCCACTAGCCTTTTCATGAGATCCTGGAAAGCTAAAATCATCAGCATAGGAGAGCAGTGGTGGCAATAGCACCTCATCTGGAGATGAAGAGGACTTCAGAGATGAAGGTGAGATCTCAGCCTGAGACTCTTGCTCCTCCTGTACATGGTTTTATCGTCCAGGGCTGTAAACAAGTCAACAACTGTGATTGAGGCAGTCTGCAACATAGAACCTAATGTACTGGGACTTGGAGGGGGAGAAGCATACACCTCCAGCGCTAGGGCAAGCTCTATTAACAGGAGCTTAAGTCTAGTCTTAGTCTAGTCTTCCTGTTCTCTTGGATCTGCCTTTGAAATCCAGACAGACCTTGCATTTAGAAGGGTTGTGACTTGTGAGAGTCCCCCCAAACACCGCAGGCAGCTGGAGTGTCCATCAATATGGGGAAAGTGCTTGTGGCAAGTCTCAACCCCTGGTTCCAACACAGAACAAAAGATCAAAGAAGAAGAAGGGAAGAAATTCTCCTGCCCCCAACCAACATAACAGTTGCTATGCAAAATAAAGGTAACAATGAAAATAGATAAACTAAAAGAAATTACTAAAACAAATAAATGAAGTAAAGAATTCACAAAGTGAAGGTGGGAAGCTGAATACATCAGACTCTTTCGAGCCGCAAGTGGTTGAAAAGGAACTTTGTGATGGCAGGCTTGCAACTCCTTATGTTCCCTGTTCAAAGCACAAGGCACCTCTCTGTGTATGCCCACGGACACTTCACAGTCTTCGATTGAGAGCGCACAGGCATATGCACATCCTATGGTGGGGCACCCATAGGGAATATATAGTAGAACAACAACTGTGTGTTCATTTTTAAAATTATATGGGACTGTTGGTCACATATTGCAATTTGTGAACCACCAGTCGTTAAACCAAATAGATAATTTTCTTCTGTAACATCCCTGGACTGATCACCTTGATTTTCATAACACAACAAATAACTATCGTATTTTCTAAACATGTAAAAGATGAAGTAGGCCCTGGTATTTCTTCAAATCCTACTCTCTTGGAGCCCAATCCTCTAACACTGACTGTAGACAATGGAAAGACTCCCACTGACTTCCATGGAAGTTATTCTAAAAATTCAATTAAGAAAGCTTTTTTAAAACTACAATTTTCAACCTTTGGAACACATTATGAAAAAACACACCTGATCAAGATGTTAAAATTCTTTGTTGAAGTATCTTAGCAAATTTTATTCATAAAAAATATACAATTTATTAGAAATTTGATCTTCAATTTTAGCACATTGCATCCATTGGAAGAAATTGGTCACTTTTACCTAGACTATCTTCATCCTTTGAAGTTTCAGCTGTGGATATCTTACATTTTAATACCTAACAAATGGTCCATTCATATCCCTTACCGATACTCTAATTAAAACTCTATTTTATAGCAATAATCAGTTTAATTATATGTCATTGTTGCCAAATGCAGAATAAAAACAATTTCACCTAAAAATCTTAATTAAAAAGCAAAGCTATTTTTAACCAAAATCAGCTCAGTGAAATGAAGCCTATAATAATTTTCCTAGCCCCATTTAAAAGAAAGAAACAGTGTAAGCATAGCAACGCTGTAAGATGTCTATCAGCTTAAGTAAGTTTCATAGTACTCTTACATTACAAGAACTACCAGTGTCAACCAAAAAGCAAAGATGCTGTAACAATAAAAAGTCCACAGGCATATTTTCGGACCACAAGATCAT